TTAGGAATGATCCAACCCACCTCAAAAGAAAAATCTATAAAATTATCTATAAAATACGTACAAATATAAAATACATAAAAACCAGTATTATTATATATACTATAATTCCATAAATATATATATAAATCCTGCAGGTCCCTATAGCCATGTATATAGGAGTGAGCTCTGCCGCCCTCTGCCGGTCACTCTTGTGATGACACGAATGGGACATTTCCCATAATGCTGCTCTTAGGATATCTGCAGCCTGCAAGATGGCGCAAGCGATATTTGAGGCTTTTGAAGGTAAAATGCGGAGTGTAATGGGTGCTGGCGATGTGTGGACGGGAGGAGCGCGGCTGATGGCCGTAGCGCTGTACGTGGGGTTTGAGGTCCGGATTCCGCGGCGGGAGGGGAGCCCGGGGGGAGAAGAGCCGGAGGAGGAGGGGGGGTGTGCGGGAAGAGCTCTGGGGGGTTGTTAGGTGTAGCAGAGGGGGGCAGGATCCGGGAAGAGCCGCCATTGTTGGGCGGAGGGGGCAGGGTGGAGAAGTGGAAGAGCCACCTGGTCTGTGTGATGATCACCTCTGTCCTGTACATCAGATGTCAGCAGAGGAGATCACTCCATGACTGCCATCCCTCACCACTGATATGTATGGCATCATCTGACAGTGTGTGCAAATGTTGTATTCCCTCCAGACACAAACTTCCAAATACTGCTGGATCCACATTCTGATTATAAAATAGCTGTCCATGCACATCAGACATGGTTCCATGGATGTCAGAGGTGGTTCTATGGACATCAGAGGTGGCTCCATGGATGTCAGAAGTGGCTCCATAGACATTAGAGATAGTCCATGGACATCTGAGGTGGCTCCATGGATGTCAGAGGTGGCTCCATGGATGTCAGAGGTGGCTCCATAAACATTAGAGATAGTCTATGGACGTCAGAGGTGGCACCATGGGCCACCATGGTGGTTCCACTGACATCAGTCATTGCTTCATGTGTATCAGAAGTGGTTCCGTGGACATCAGAAGTGGCTCCACAAATGTTAGAGGTGGCTCCACAGACGTCAGAGGTGGCTCCAAAGACATTAGAAATAGTCTATGGATGTCAGAGGTGGCTCCACACCATAGACATTAGAGATAGTCCATGGACATCAGACATGGTTCGATGGATGTCAGAGATCCCATAGATAGACATTAGAGATGGACTATGGACTTCAGAGGTGGTTCCATGGATGTTCTGTATGACTCGGACATGTGAGCACATATTGACTGTTTGGTTGATGAGTTCCGGATGATCTTCAGAGGATCAGGAGCTGCAGCCCTTCCGGTTTGGACAATGGAAGTGGGGTGCAGATAGTCTTGCATGCTATCTGACCTAGGGGAAAGGAGTAGTTGTCAACAGTGTTTCAAAAAAAGTGGATGGTGGTACACTGGCAAATAACAACAACTTCTTTATGAATTCCATGAAACGGCACGTGAGCTATGGGATCGCTTACTCATGTTATGTGCTTAATCATAGAGTTTAAATGTTCCCAAAATACAGAGGGCTTTTCTTTGCAGTGAGAAATAAAATCAATGCCATCAGCAGCATGCCTACGTTGATTAGTTCCTTAGGTGGCTGCTTCTGCATACCGCCCAAACAAAAGCAACTACGATCTCCAGCAAGTGTCCTTGTCCCATTGTTGCCTCTTCTTCCCTTTTGATTGCTAGGAAGCTGACAATGGCCTGGTCGCCAGCATCCTAGCAACCAATTACACTGTGGAGCTATTCATTGGTTGCTAGTACACTGGAGGGTGGGCCACACAGCATCTTTGGTTGCTAGGATGCTTATGACTGGACCCGGATGGAGGAATTCTCCCTGCTGTGCCCTTGTATTATGCAGATCTAACAGTGTAATTACCAGAATTCTTTTATAGTTGCCCTACTTGGTTTAGTCCTGCACCTGATTTGATGACCTCAGAAAACTGTTCGAAGAGGATCAGGTCTTGTAGAACTACTCTAGGGGGCCGTAACAAGGTCTTCTAACAGCAGAAGGCACACCTTGTTTGTACAAGATGATTCTCAAACTTATCATCCTTTTCTTACCCTCACCTTGATCGAACCCACTGATCTACACTTAATGAAATACGTGGTGACCTCGATCAACAGTTTGGTGAGGACCAGGCCTTGTAGAACTACTCTGGGGCTGCAACAAGGTCTTCTGACAGGATTAAGCACACCTTGTTTGTACACAAAGAATCTCAAACCTTTCATCCTTTTCTCACCCTCACCTTGATCGAACCCACTGATCTACACTTAATGAAATACGTGGTGATCTCGATCAACAGTTTGGCGAGGACCAGGCCTTGTAGAACTACTCTGGGGGCTGCAACAAGGTCTTCTGACAGGAGGAAGCACACCTTGTTTGTACATGAAGAATCTCAAACCTTTCATCCTTTTCTCACCCTCACCTTGATCGAACCTACTGATCTACACTTAATGAAATACGTGGCGATCTCGATCAACAGTTTGGCGAGGACCAGGCCTTGTAGAACTACTCTGGGGGCTGCAACAAGGTCTTCTGACAGGAGGAAGCACACCTTGTTTGTACACACAGAATCTCAAACCTTTCATCCTTTTCTCACCCTCACCTTGATTGAACCCACAGATTTACACTTGAAATGAAATTCATGGTGACCTCAGGCAACAGTTTTGGTAATGACCAGACCTTCTAGAACAGCAATGGGCAAACTACGGCCCGCGGGCCATATACGGCCCGGCGGACCTTTTAATCCGGCCCGCGGAGCGTGATACTGTCAGGATGGCTGTCAGGATGTGTGTAGGTGGGGCAGCGTGACGAACGTGAGGGGAGCTAGGCTCCTCTCACAGTCCGCCCTGAAGACCGGAATGGCGCGGGAACACGGCGAGAGGAACGCGCGGAGCAAAGGTAAGTAAATTGACACAGGGGGGACTTGGGGACTTAATATGGGGGATGAATTAATATGGGGAATGAATTACTATAGGGGGGATGAATTACTATATGGGGGATGAATTACTATATGGGGGATGAATTACTATGGGGGATGAATTACTATATGGGGGATGAATTACTATGGGGGATGAATTACTATATGGGGGATGAATTACTATGGGGGATGAATTACTATGGGGGATGAATTACTATGGGGGATGAATTACTATGGGGGATGAATTACTATATGGGGGATGAATTACTATGGGGGATGAATTACTATGGGGGATGAATTACTATTGGGGATGAATTACTATATGGGGGATGAATTACTATATGGGGGATGAATTACTATTGGGGATGAATTACTATATGGGGGATGAATTACTATGGGGGATGAATTACTATATGGGGGATGAATTACTATGGGGGATGAATTACTATATGGGGGATGAATTACTATGCTTACTATGGGGGAATATTACTATACTTACTATGGATGACACATACACATCATTCATCTACTCTTGGTCAGGCCCCCGGGTCCAATATATGAACCCATTGCGGCCCTCAAGTCAAAATGTTTGCCCACCCCTGTTCTAGAACTACCCTGTGGGGCTGTAACAAGGTCTTCTGACAGCGGGAAGCACATTTTTTTCGTAGAAGAAGGTTTTCAAACTTGTCATCCTTCTCTTACCCTTGTGTATACTGTATATAACCACTGCACTGTAGAAAAAAAAGTGAAAAAGCAGCCAGCACATAAATATAGGATACAGTATATATTACATCAGCTCATACATTAGTACAGATGTCAATATGAAAAATAAATAATATAGCTAATAGTGGAACAACCCAAAGTTCATATAGTATAGTCCACAACTTCCAAGCTATGTGAAACACAGCAAAATAATGAGTGCACTGTAATCCTCTTCAAAATATAATCATCACATGTCCACCACCAGCAAATACTGAGGCTTACCAAATGAAGTGAGACTCTCATATGAGGAGCCAGAATGTGCTCATGGAAGGATAAATGGATACTATGAATACTCCAAAAATGGCACCAACATCAGCTGTGCATCCGCACAGTAGTGACAGTAAGAAGCATGTAAATATAAAACAGCTCCAAATAGTGTAGATCCAATCGATATGTTTAGTTAAAACAAGTTAAAAACACTTACATAGATGTAGGGTTTAAAATGGGATCCAAAACTACATTACCCATAATCCTTAGCATAACGCGCATATGGAGTGGTGTCACGGCTTCTTTCTCCACCCAACGAGTTTTAATCACAAATTACATCATCAGTGCCCTTGATTACGTAATTTGTGTTGAAACGCAATGGGCGGAAGCTGTGACCTCACTGAGCATGTGCGTTATGCCTAGGATTCTGGGTATTGTAGTCCTCTTACCCTTACCTTGTTCCAGCCTGCAGTTCTACATTTTTTGAAGTTCAATAACTGAAAGGTGGACCTCTGCTGTTGGCTGAACCTCGTCTATTTTTTACCCCCTGGTACAACTAACTGGGACATTACGTTGGTTTCTCCTGTGGTGAAAAGAAACCTGTACTGGTAGACATATCGGGACAGCCATTGCTGATGTCTCATCTGAAAGGCTAGTTGCCTGGCCAGTACTGCTTTCAGGACTTTCTAATTTATTGACCCACAACAAGCATGCATCAAGTAGAATCAAAGTAAAGTCTGAACTTGTGGGTTGCATCCTTGTTTGAAGTCTGTAACTCAGAAAGTCTTGAAGTTTATGAATCAGCCTCATAGCCAGGCAACTAGTATCTTAAAAGAAGGGACCTGCAATGGCAGTCCTCATATTTCCTCAGTACAGGTTTCCTTGGCCTTGTTGGTAAATGATGGTTGATAGCCGAATGGATATCTTCCCTACTGTCGGATGTAAATTCCAAACAGGTGCTTGCGCATAAGTGTCATATGTCTGCAAAACCAAATAATAAGGGGATATTTACTGTGCACAGAACCAGACGTATCACACAGCTTCCATAATGTATCCCACCCGGACACCTGTGGTGGAATCTGACAACCATCTTTCTTTTCCTCCAGGCATGGACAATCAGACAGTGTTAGCAGTTCAGTCTTTACTTGATGGTCAAGGTGGAGTATCTGACCCCAGCGCTCAGAATGTCAGCAGCACTGGACCAATCCAAGGACTCGGTATGAAATAAAAGCATTTTTCTCTTCATTTGAAGGCCAGAAGATATTTGAGACTCCTTTTAAATATAGCCAAATTGCTTCTTAAATGGTCACTAGACATGCATTAATTCATAAGCCAAATCATTGTTCACAGAGCTCAGTTATTTATCGGTTAAGCTGCCCATAGATAAGAGCCAATTTTGGCTGGCTCCTGAAGAACCACTGTACCCGACATCCTGCAATCTCAAAGGAGGCAGGCAGAAAATTGTTGGCGGAAGAGTGACTGCAACAAATTAGATGCAGTCACTGTTCAGGTATTCTGAAAGCCATGGGTGCTGGCTGTCAGATTATAATAGCTGGTGTGTGTGATGAGGTCCTCCATCCACACTGTTTAACAGGACTGAACAAGAGAAATCTAAGAGTATATGGCCAGCCTTAGTAATGGGGCTCCTTGGTTGTAGGGGGACTATGCTTTTTAAAAACCTTTGCATTTAAAAATAATTTGTAAAAGTTACATATAATTGGGTCCAATGAGCCTACTGGTTGGCTTCCTATTTCATTAGGTGGAGTGATGGCTGCAGAGGCTCAATCTGGTAACATGTGACCAGGGGTGGACTGACAACTCATGGGGCCCCCGGGCAATAGGGGATCATGGGGCCCCTGTGTCCTTGCCCAAACTGAAAAAAGCCTATGAAAAAGGTACCAGGGGCATCTCATGGGGCCCCCTACTGACCCTGGGCCCTCGGGCAGTGCCCAAGTTTCCAAATGGTCGGTCCGCACCTGCATGTGACACTGAGAGATTTGTTCTGCAATACAGTCAGGAGGCATTGAACAGGGATGACCAATGGTGCCAATTGGCTTCTGTGGGTGGTGGGAGAGGTTGGGAGAAGCTCGTGTTCCTGTGTCAGAAATAAGCAGCAAGGACAGCCAGACTTGTGTGGTTACACTTAGGAAACTGAGACCAGACTGTATATAGTATAGTAAATGTATTAACAACGAAACAAAAGACATCCAAAAACCAGGAAACACAGCAACTGTGAAGATAGAAGTGAACAAAATCCCTAACTATAATACAATATATACAAAATGAGGAACACAGGTCATAGGGAATACTGGAGATGCAAGGAAAGGAACCAGGACTGGAATCAGGTACAAGGGGAGCAGATATAAGGCAGCTGGCTGCAGAATACAGGATGCAGGGCAAGATCAGGAGCAGGATAAATGGCAAACAGCATCTGACTAGCAAAGCAAAGAAAAACACTGATTTGATGTGTAAAAGTAGAGGAGGAACTTAACAACTATCTAGCAGCCAGCATCAGGTGGAGACTGATTAGTAGAAACTGCTGGCTGTTGGGAGACATCCGCTGGTGGACACTGAAACTACAACCCTCCGCACAGGGAACCACAGTGCCACCAGCAGGTGAGCCAGGTCCTGGCACCTTGGACAATTCCACCTCAGTTGCACATTTTGAGATGTGTTGGTGCTAAAAGTGGCACTATATTATTAAGGTGTCACCCTTAAGCCAATGGGAACCGTTACCAGATCAGCACGACATTTAGCACCATTTGTATATGTATGGATCTATAAAAAAAAATTGTACAGCTATTTGTCCACAAAAATTTTGGTAAATTCGTTCAAATGGGGCAAAGTTGAATGTTCTCCTATTTCCTCTACAGGTTACAGTGATTCATGAAAGTACCGCATTATGGCCACTGGATGATGCTGAAGGGCCTAGGAAACAAATACCGATCCTCAGCTCCATCTAGCGGCCATAATACGGTACTATCCTGAACCTCTTTTTTTTTTCTCATATATGCACTGCTCAAAAAAATTAAAGGAACACTTTTTAATCAGAGTTTAGCATCAAGTGAAGTAAACTTCTGGGATATTGATCCGTTGAGTTAAATAGCAGAGGGGGATGTTAATCAGTTTCAGCTGAGGAAATTAACAACAAGTGCACTAGATGGGTAACAATGAGACGACCCCCAAGACAGAAATGGTTTTACAGGTGGAGGCCACTGACATTTTTTCCCTACTCATCTTTTCTGACTGTTTTTCACTAGTTTTGCATTTGGCTAGGGTCAGTATCACTACTGGTAGCATGAGGCGATACTTGGACCCTACAGAGGTTGCACAGGCAGTCCAACTCCTCCAGGATGGCACATCAGTACGTGCCATTGCCAGAAAGTTTGCTGTGTCTCCCAGCACAGTCTCAAGAGCATGAAGGAGATTCCAGGAGACAGGCAGTTCCTCTAGGAGAGCTGGGCAAGGCCGTAGAAGGTCCTTATCCCATCAGCAGGACCGGTATCTGCTCCTTTTGTAAGGAGGAACAGGATGAGCACTGCCAGAGCCCTACAAAATGACCTCCAGCAGGCCACTGGTGTGAATGTCTCTGACCAAACAATCAGAAACAGACTTCATGAGGGTGGCCTGAGGGCCCTGTGCTCACTGCCAGGCACCATAGAGCTCAATTGGGAAATTGTGATTAAATACCACAATTGGCAGGTCCACCACTGGCGCCCTGTGCTTTTCACGGATGAGAGCAGATTCACCCTGAGCACATGTGACAGACGGGAAAGGGTCTGGAGAAGCCGTGGAAAACGTTATGTTGCCTGTAACATCGTTCATCATGACTGTTTTGGTGATGGGTCAGTGATGGTCTGGGGAGGCATATCCATGAAAGGACGCACAGACTTCTACAGGTTAGACAATGGCACCCTGACTGCCATGAGGTATCGGGATGAAATCCTTGGACCCATTGTCAGACCCTACGCTGGTGCAGTGGGTCCTGGGTTCCTCCTGTTGCACAACAATGCCCGGCCTCATGTGGCGAGAGTATGGGAGAGTTCCTGGAGGATGAAGGAATTGATACCATTGAATGGCCCCCACGCTCGCCTTACCTAAATCCAATAGAACACCTCTGGGACATCATGTTTTGGTCCATCGCCAAATTGCACCTCAGACTGTCCAGTAGCTCAATGATGCCCTGGTCCAGATCTGGGAGTAAATACCCCAGAACACCATCTGTCGTCTCATTAGGAGCATGACCCGACATTCTCAGGCATGCACACAAGCAAGTGGGGGCCATACAAACTTCTGAGGGCCATTCTGAGTTGCTGCAATGAAATTTCAGCAAAATGGACTTGCCTGCTGCATCATTGTTTCACTTTGATATTTGGGGTGTCATTGAATTCAGTCCTCTGTAGGTTGAAAATTTTAATTTCCATCAAACAATGGAGCATCCTTATGTTCCTAACACATTACCCTGTCCATATCAGCAGGAGATTTCTCCCCATTGAGATCTGATGTGTTTTCAAAGTGTTCCTTTAATATTTTTGATCAGTGTATAATACACCCCTTAGTCTGAAGAGGCTCCTAGTGTTCTCACACAATACCACCAATGTAACTAATGTTAAATGTATAATAACAGTGGAGGTATATGTTGATTTCTGATCTGCTTATAGATGATGAAGATGTCTTTCTGTGCGGGAAGTGTAAAAAACAGTTCAACTCCTTGCCAGCTTTTATGATCCACAAACGGGAGCAGTGCCATGGCAATGCACCATCCCTGGCATCTGTCTCCCTGGGCAACCACAGTGTTTATACACCGCCTGTCAGCTCTGTGCAACAGCCGCCAGTTAACAGGCAGGTGAGTGTGTTTTGTATCATCATTTCAACAGTTGGCTTCAATTCATTCTTCTTGTTGCTTTCTCATTTTTATATTTTCTCTTTCATACTTTTTTTTACTGCAATAAATAAAATATATTATGAAAAACATATAAGCCAGGGCTTGAAATTTCCACTCGCCTGCTCGCCAATGGCGAGTGGAAATTATGGGGGGGCGAGTGTGTCCTCCAGGGCCGTCTTGCTTAGCAGGTTATGAGCTACGGCCGGATCTGTCATTGGCACTGGGTGCCATCAGACTGCTCAATAGTTGAGCGCAGTGAAAGAAAAGGAAGGCTCTCTGCCTCCCCCTAGAGTGCAGTACCCGGCTCTGTGAGTGAACAACGAAGTACTGCAACTTTTTTATTGGGGGGGGGGGTGTACATACGTGTACATGTGTGTGTGTGTGTGTGTCTGTGTATGCATGTACAATTGTGCATGTGTCTGTATATATGTACATGTGTGTATCTGTACATGTGTCTGCCTGTATGTACATGTATGTGTGTTTGTACGTGTGTGTGTGTGCATGTACATGTTTGTGTGTACATGTGTCTGTGTGTACATGTGTCTGTGTATGTATGTACATGTTTGTGTATGTATGTATGTACATGTGTCTATGCGTGTGTATTTCTGTGTATGTACTGTCTGTACATGCCTGTGTACATGTACATCTGTGTGTATGCCTGTCTGTACATGCCTGTGTGTGTATACATGTGTCTGTATGTGTGTGTACATGTGTCTCTGTGCGTATGTGTACATGTTTCTGTGTGTGTGTATGTACATGTCTGTGTGTGTGTACAGGTGTCTCTGTGCGTGTTTGTTGGTGGCGAGTAACTCTAAGGCCTGGCTAGTAGCTCAGGACTTGAAATTTTAAGCCCTGATATAAGCTACCCCTAAAGTGGTTGTACAGGCTGAAGGTTTTTTTACTGCAATAAATAAAAAACCTATTATGAAAAACATATAAGCCAGGGCTTGAAATTTCCACTCGCCTGCTCGCCAATGGCGAGTGGAAATTATTGGTGGGGGCGAGTGTGTCCTCCAGGGCCGTCTTGCTTAGCAGGTTATGAGCTACGGCCGGATCTGTCATTGGCACTGGGTGCCATCAGACTGCTCAAATAGTTGAGCGCAGTGAAAGAAAAGGAAGGCTCTCTCTGCCTCCCCCTAGAGTGCAGTACCCGGCTCTGTGAGTGAACAACGAAGTACTGCAACTTTTTATTGGGGGGGGGGGGTGTACATACGTGTACATGTGTGTGTGTGTGTGTGTCTGTGTATGCATGTACAATTGTGCATGTGTCTGTATATATGTACATGTGTGTATCTGTACATGTGTCTGCCTGTATGTACATGTATGTGTGTTTGTACGTGTGTGTGTGTGTGCATGTACATGTTTTGTGTGTACATGTGTCTGTGTGTACATGTGTCTGTGTATGTATGTACATGTTTGTGTATGTATGTATGTACATGTGTCTATGCGTGTGTATTTCTGTGTATGTACTGTCTGTACATGCCTGTGTACATGTACATCTGTGTGTATGCCTGTCTGTACATGCCTGTGTGTGTATACATGTGTCTGTATGTGTGTGTACATGTGTCTCTGTGCGTATGTGTACATGTTTCTGTGTGTGTGTATGTACATGTCTGTGTGTGTGTACAGGTGTCTCTGTGCGTGTTTGTTGGTGGCGAGTAACTCTAAGGCCTGGCTAGTAGCTCAGGACTTGAAATTTTAAGCCCTGATATAAGCTACCCCTAAAGTGGTTGTACAGGCTGAAGGTTTTGTACCTTCATGCATTCTCTGCTTGAAGGTAAAAAACCTCCTGTGTGCAGCTCCCCTAACACCCCCCCCCCCCTCGAGCCCAGTCTCGATGCAGTGGCTCTCTCGGCTCTCTCCTTCCTCATTGCCTCCGACACCGCAGCACACGCCATGGGCTCTCGCTGCTGTAATTCACAACCAGTGAGGAGGGAGCAGGGCGGAGCCATGCTCTGTGCATTTCGAGAGCGAGCCCACATGAATGCCCCTATAGCAAGCGGTTTGCTATGGTGGGCACTCAGTGGGGAAGGGGGGGGGTTTCGTCAGCCAGGAGCGTCGGTGGAGGACCAGAGAAGCAGAGACTAGGGACTATTCTGTGCAAAACCATTAGACAGAATAGGTGAGTATAACATGTTTATTATTAGGAAAAAAAACATGCCTTTACAAACCCTCCAGAGGATTTACCCCCCTTCATGACCAGGCCATTTTTTGCGATACGGAGCTGTGTTACTTTAACAGACAATTGCGCGGTCATGCAATGCTGCACCCGAATGAAATGTATGTACGTCCCACAAGTAGAGCTTTCTTTCAGTGGTATTTGATCGCCTCTGCGTTTTATAGATTTGTTTGCGCTATAAACAAAAAAAAGACCGACAATTTTGAAAAAAAAAAAAAACAATATATTTGTGACTTTGCACTATAAAACATCCATTAAAATAATTTAAAAAAATCTAATTTTGTCATAAATTTAGGCCAAAATGTATTCTGCTACATGTCTGCTAAAAAAAATCCCAATACATGTAAATTAATTGGTTTACGTGTTATAGCGTGTACAAATGGAAAACATTTTATTATACTAGTAAAGGCAGCAATCAGCGACTTATAGCAGGAATGCAGTGGGCATTCTGACACTGGGGGGGGGGGGGGGGGGGGGAACTGACTAACTGCCCACTGTCATCCCCAGTGACACCAATACAATGATCAGTGCTAATAAAAAGCACTGACACTGTACTAATGGCACTGGGCAGGTAGGGGTTAACATCTGGGGCGATCAAAGGGTTAACTGTGTGCTGTGTGTGTGTTTTACTATGTGTGCTGTGTGTGTTTTACAACGGCAACATGCTGCTTTGTATTGCTGTGCAGAGAAATACAAAGCAGCATGTCTTTTGCTGGCAGGAGAGAGAACTTTGTTGTTTACACACAGGTCTCCCCCCTGTCAGCTTTACTCGGCGATCGCCCGGTGCCGGCATGGAATCTCTGGCTGGGACCCGGTGATTGACATCCCTAGCCGCCAATGGCGGCGCGGGGTAGGGCGGCGTGCACACGCCCCATACCCGGAAATACAAATCATGTGTATATATATATATATATATATATGTGTGTGATTTTGCGCAGCCCTGCCGCCCTGTAGCAGTAGTTCTACTATAGGGTGGTGGGCAAGCGGTTAATGACACGAAATGCTAGTTGCCTGGTGGTCATACCACTTCCCAGGTTTTAATACTGTAAGGGCACATTCACACCATGTTGCTTGAGCTGTTTTGATCTGCATTGATCTACCCAGGCTCGACTAAAGGGCAAATACCTTGTTACCTGTGTGCCCTGTTCACACCATACATGCGTGGTGGCATGTACTGCAGCATGTACGCATTTTTACACAGCGCAACTCGCCATACTGCATGCCACCGCATTGTATAGAGTTTGTAAAGTTTCAGGAAATTTGTTGACACTTTAAAAAAATTGAAAGTAAAAAGATAACAGTGCAACGTTATTGTAACAACTACCCCTTACTGCACCCACAAAATGTTCACCAGGGCACATGTGGCAAAGGGAGATAAAAGGCAAAAAAAAAAAAGAAGGAAATAGGGAAAGAAAATAAATCTGTTTGCCAGGGTGCACCGCCAAAAGCTCACGAAGTGTAAATCTGGGTTAACATGCCACATGCAGTCTAACAAAGAGGCAGGGTCCACAATAAGGACACTCAGGGTTGCCAATTTATGGAGAATTTATTATGAGAGTCATTCAATATTGTGATGTGTGCTTTGTTCACCATTGTACCCATAAGCCCTTCCCACTTTTTTATATTTGTCTGTATTTTGGCTTATAAGTAAATATTGTAATAATAACTAAAAATGTGCAATCACTGAAAACGCTTTGCTTCACTTAAAGTAGTTGTAAAGGCTCAAGGTTCTTTTTACTTTCATGCATTCTATGCATGAAGGTAAAAAAAACCTTCTGTGTGTAGCAACCCTCTCAGCCCCCCCAATACTTACCTGATCCCCATCGTGATTCAGCAATGTGCATGAGAGCCTTGGCTCTCCGAGGACTCTCCTTTCTCATTGGCTACCACTGCTGTCAATCACAGCCAATGAGGAGGAGAGAGGGGGCAGGGCTCAGCCATAGCTCTGTGTATGAATGGACATACAGAGCAGTGGCTCGGGAACAAGCCTGCTTGGGTGCCCCATAGTAAGCTGCTTACTATGGGGGCACTTAGCAGGAGGGATGGGACAGCAGTGCCAGTGGGGGTCTAGAGAAGAGGAGGATTGGGGCTGCTCGGTGCAAATCCATTACACAGAGCAGGTAAGTATGATATATAAAACACAAAGGTGCAGCGCTAAAAGTATCGTATACTAATATCACAAGAACGTCAATCAGTGATAATGAAAGAACTTAATAAAGTGCCCATAAAGTGACTTAGTGCAGTTCACATCAAAAACAGTCTGCATAAAGTGCCGTATATGTGACATATAAGTGACAATAGTGAGCACTATAAATATAATATATTGCGAGACACCACTGATTAGGACCATATAAAGTCCAAAAATAATGGTGAAAGATCATCAAGATAGTCTCTAATAGGTGATCTGTGTGCTGCAAATAATCATTCAGGTGATGTGCCAGAATGGAATGTTAAGACTGCACACTCACCAGATAGACAATCATAATACGCAATGTATATGATAATGGGCCGGAGGTCTCCCTTAAAGGTAATCAGCAGCCTGGTCAGGTCCAAGAGATCCCCTCCCTCCAGGTAATCTGCCACATACCACTGCCGTCCTCGGAAATGGGCTCTAAGGTGATGTTGGCTCATACAGAGCCAGAAAGAAGAATGCCCATAGTGTAGTACTTCTCAATAATGTACGTTTATTGTAGGTAACAGTATAACAAGCATAAAGTAAATGAGCTGTCACCAGGGGCGGACTGACAACTCATGGGGCCCCCGGGCAATAGGAGATCATGGGGCCCCTGTGTCCTCTTGCTCCATATTCAAACCACACACCCCAAAAAGCCTATGAAAGGTATCAGGGGCATCTCATGGGGCCCCCTACTGACCCAGTGCCTCTTGGGAAGTGCCCGAGTTCCCAAATGGTCAGTCCGCCCCTGGCTGTCACTGACCCATATAGAGATTTAAAGATGGCCGCCGGACCTCCTTGTGGTCTTGGTGGCGTGACGTCACCGCGTATAGCTCCTGTTCTACGCGTTTCGTGCAATAGCACGTATTCATAAGGGGTGTGCTAAGTATGATATGTTTGTTATGTTTATTTTTTCTTAAATTACCTGTAATATCACTTTAACATGACAATTTGTGCCAATAGGTAGGAAACAGAAAACTCACCACTGATCTGATCTTTATTGCTTTATTCCTTTTCCTAAGGCTGATCTTTATTCCTTTTCCTACAGATCTCCACATACATTGCTGTTCCCCCCTCACCGCTTATCCAGACTCTGGTACAGGGTAATGTTTTGGTGAATGATGAGGTCTTGCTGTCTGCAATGCTGCTCTTACCTCACTTGACCAGCCGATGCCTCCTGCCCCTGCTCCTGTACAGGTAACAGCATGTGCACCATTCATGACCACTAGACTTTCTGTGTTTCCTATAACAACCAATCAGAGTTTAGTTGTCATGTATTGTAGTGTATGTTAAAGGATCAAAGCAAAGGATCTGGCTGCTGTGGGCTGTACTCTCACTTTCCTTGAGAACAGACACATTGTTGGTCAATTCACAAAGGCTTTATTACATGTTATGTAATTTACTGTGCGTTTATAGAAATATCACACTGGCTAATTCACAAAACTGCATGTGGAATGTCTTCTGCTTTACTATCAGATCATATTTTAATATTTCGTACCATAAAAATAAATGTGAAAACAGTTCACAACGTTTATTACAAAGGTTATCGCTCCTTCAGAACCTGGGTACCACTGTATTGTCAAAAAACGGCAAATAGGCGGATATGCATTTTTGGAGTATCTTTTATAAATGGCGCTTCAGAAAACACAGAGGCAGCCAAGTGCGCCCACGAATGGCTGTGATCTTCACTATCATTGGACAGCTCAGATTACAGTCACGATGTACAGAGCCAGTCAGATTGCTCTGTACCTGTGATCACTGTGAACTAATAAGCCATCACAGAACAGATACTAATAGTGTTAACCAGGGTAGATTTGATTTAAATCAAACTGATTTAAATCACGATTTAAATCACTAGTCAGTAAGGCTTGATTTAAATCCTAGTTTTCTACATAAAGACTCATTCTTGCTGGTATAACTTTAATATGCAAGTAGATGAAGATTTTTAGTATAACTTTTTCATATTTTTTTTTTATCCCCAGTTTAATAGGTTAATCATTCATATTTGGACAACTTTTCTGTTGTACTTTAGGAAGGAGAAAAATAATCATTACCTTAATAATAACAATTTAAATAGATTTATTCATCTGAAACAATAACATTCCAGCATATGTGATTTGCTTAAACATCCATGTTTGGTAACTAATTTGGCTAAACAAAATCTATATATTTTAAGAAACTTAGACTGTCAGCCCCTTCCTCCTCACACTTAGTGTCACTTTCTTCTTGTGCAGATCTATTCCACTCCAAACAATCAGAAAAAAATATTGTTTCTATTCTATTCACTGAACTTCTTGAAACTTAGCACTGAAGGGGTTTGATTCTGTATTCATAGGTTTGTAGAAGTTAGGATGAAGGTCTTTTTCTTAACTCTGTTCATGTTATAACATTTTTGCTGTGAAGAAGAGGCATGTGATCTCCGCTGAGTCAAATTCAGGTTTTGAGAACTGCAAAAGTAAACCGAGCATCTGTGATAATATCTTGTAGGCAGAGAAACTGCCCAATAATCTTACAAAAACCTCTGGAAGAGCAGACATTGTGAATGGATTCATGGAATTTATTTACCAAAAACATTACAACATATACAGCCTTATTCTACATAATTAAAAAACTAATCTTTATTTCATGATGGAATAACCTTGGATGGTAATATATTTTCCTCAAAAAGCATTTTATTCAAAAAAATCCGATTTAAATAAAAAAAATCCGATTTTTTTTATATTTTTTAAAAAAAAAATCATTGATTTTTATCCACCCTGGTGTTAACAAAAGAAGTTCCTTTTCCTCCATTGTGAATGGACTGTGAATGGGTTAAGGGCCGGTTCACACCATGAATCACACAGGAATGCACAGTGAGTTGGGTGCAGTGCGATTTCAGCCCATTCTTTTGAATGGGCTAAAATCACGCCAAAACCGCACGAAAAGTAGTGCATGCACTACTTTAAAAAAAAAAAGGTTTAGGAAATGCGCACGGAACATGTTTCCTACACCACAATCTGCTGTGAACTGGCCCTAAATGTTTGCAAATACAGCAGGAAGGAGGATCAGCAGATCGAAGGTTAAAGTGTTTACTAACCCATGATCCTACATTCACTATATCTGGTCTCCCCACAGCACACAGAACGTGTTAATGCAATTATTTTTGTAAATATAAACTGCTAAATACCTTTTTTTCAGCAGAAGTTAGAGCAGTCTTGTGACTTCTATCAGTGCCCAGCCAAGCACTAGCTAAAGCTTGTACAAGGAGTTTTCTTTCTGCTCTAGGAGGATGCAAAACCCCTGACCTTTGTTTGACCAGTGCTGATTGGCTCTGTGCTGATCACATGCACTCTCCCAAGAAAAAAAAAAAAACTCTTTAGTAATACGCACCAAACTGAGCGTGTGCAAATGCCTACGGTTCAGTCTATCTTATCAGGAGATAATGTGGTCGTTTTGAATAAGAGAGGAACAGAGCAGTCAGGATCAAACATCCCTTTTTACACAATGCAGAGGATTAACCCCGTAGGTTCCACAGTGAGTATAACAAGCATGCTTTAACTGCATATACAGACTGATGTTACTGTTGTGGGTTAGTAACACTTTAAGGTGGGGAGCCGGTGACCGCCAATGATGATGGGATCATTTTTGTAAACAGTGGTTTATTAATTGAGTTGAACTTCGGCTAGAAAAAAAGGAACATTAAGGTTTTACCCCCCTCCCCCAGCTCCCTGGCAATCTTTAGCTTTTTTCTAAATAAAGTTTAGAGTAGAGAGAGTACTTCTGGCAGTGCCCATGTCTGGTGCTGATGACTCGGGCATCATCCATTTGCCTGGCAGGAAATCCAGTTTTCTGCTACTAATTGCACTGCTGGTATGTTTGATGTCAATGTAGGGGGGCAGTAATACAAGCATACAGAACCTACAACTGCCTTCTTTGGAACTGGTGTGGGGCAAAAATGAGGAAAAAGCTAAAGCTGAATTTTAATCTGCTTATAGTTTGCCTTCTATGGTATACCTTCTCCCTGATCAAAATTATGATTAAAAAAAATTATATAAACGCTTTTCATTTTCATTACATGCCTTATGTAATGTTTTCACTAGGTCTCTGTACCTCTCTATGCAAATGCAAGCAGATTAGGGCTGGTGGAAGGTGCTGTATATAGCTTCCTAAAAAATGTCACAGCTCCCTTTCTCAGTACTCTCCTCTACAGATCCCTCAGTCCTGATGTTAGCAGTGGCTGGTTGGTGGACATTTTTGCAGATATCACAATGCCTTGATGGGTGGATGTCAGTTAGGAGGAGTGGGTGTTCCTAGGCAGACTGTATTTGCATAGTTAATGCACACTTGTGATGCTGAGCCTCCATGACTGAAATCCAATGAATGAAAGGGGAGGGCCAAGGACAGTTCAGCTGGGGAGGAAAGGACTCAAGCCAGGTCATGAGGGGGCTCTATCTGACTTGCTGCAGCTTCTAATGCACACTGTGAGAAGCCCGCAGTGTGCAGTGGGATCTGAGCAATTTCAGTACAGGAGAGGAGCCTGTATACTGTACAAGACTGAGGGAAAGGCTGGATTTTTGCTCTCATAAAAAAACCTGTAGCCTGGGAGCGGGTGTTTTAAGTGGTTTTTTTTTTTTTTTTTTTTGGACAGAGTTCAGCTTTAACTTTTTTTGAATGTTTCTTTTGTTCCCTGTGTGATACATTTGATTTCTTGAGCAAGCTTTTTTAATGCATTTCTTTTTTAATTTTTATATTTGGCAACAAGGACCTCATTTCTTCTTGTTAATCTTACAGAGCAATCTGAGTATGCACTCCGGTGGCACCTACCTGCACACCCCGTCTCTGCCTCCACGGCCTCAACACCCACCACACCCGCCTGCCCCATCTGGACAGAGCCTCATGGGGGTTCCTGTCCAAGCAAACAGCGGCAGCTGCAGCACCGTAGTGCAGGTCTACAGCTCACCTATTAGCATGCCAGGGAACACAGGGATGGAGATCCATGGGCTCGGCATGGCACCCTACGCCCAGATAGAGGTAAATGTCTACAGCTGGCCTAATATACTGGTATTGTTTTTTGATGGCTTTCTAGGGCTAAGTTCACACTAGCTTTGTTAGCAGGCGTTTGGGAAGCGGTTTTAACGCTCCTCAAATGCCTATGAAAATTCGACACACTACCCACTGCGCATGCGGGAGTAGTGCTGCGCCTCCTGAATGGTCCTGTAGTTTTTTGGGACCTGTCACATGTCCCAAAAGACTACGGGGAGGGAAGAAGGGAGGACACCTTCCACTTCCAATCGCCTAGGCCAGTGGTGGGCAACCTTTTTTTTCAACTGAGCCAAATCTCACCAAAACCACGATTGAAATTTATTTTGAGAGCCACATTTTTAAAACTGAAAATACATCCCCCATATAGTAATTCATCCCCCATAGTAATTCATCCCCCATATAGTAATTCATCCCCCATAGTAATTCATCCCCCATATAGTAATTCATCCCCCATAGTAATTCATCCCCCATAGTAATTCATCCCCCATAGTAATTAATCCCCCATATAGTAATTCATCCCCCATAGTAATTCATCCCCCATAGTAATTAATCCCCCATATAGTAATTCATCCCCCATAGTGTAATTCATCCCCATAGTAATTCATCCCCCATATAGTAATTCATCCCCCATAGTTATTCATCCCCCATAGTAATTCATCCCCCATAGTAATTCATCCCCCATATAGTAATTCATCCCCCATAGTAATTCATCCCCCATATAGTAATTCATTCCCCATAGTAATTCATCCCCCATAGTAATTCATCCCCCATATAGTAATTCATCCCCCATAGTAATTCATCCCCCATAGTAATTCATCCCCCATATAGTAATTCATCCCCCCTATAGTAATTCATCCCCCATATAGTAATTCATCCCCCATAGTAATTCATCCCCCCATAGTAATTCATCCCCCATATAGTAATTCATCCCCCATAGTAATTCATCCCCCATATAGTAATTCATCCCCCATAGTAATTCATCCCCCCATATAGTAATTCATCCCCCATAGTAATTCATCCCCCCTATAGTAATTCATCCCCCATATAGTAATTCATCCCCCATAGTAATTCATCCCCCATAGTAATTCATCCCCCATATAGTAATTCATCCCCCATATAGTAATTCATCCCCCATATAGTAATTCATCCCCCATATAGTAATTCATCCCCCATATAGTAATTCATCCCCCCTATAGTAATTCATCCCCCATAGTAATTTATCCCCCATAGTAATTCATCCCCCATATAGTAATTCATCCCCCATATAGTAATTCATCCCCCATAGTAATTTCTAATATTCATCCCCCATAGTAATTCATCCCCCATAGAGTAATTCATCCCCCATAGTAATTCATCCCCCATATAGTAATTCATCCCCCCATATAGTAATTCATCCCCCCATAGTAATTCATCCCCCATATAGTAATTCATCCCCCATATAGTAATTCATCCCCCATAGTAATTAATCCCCCATATAGTAATTCATCCCCCCTATAGTAATTCATCCCCCCTATAGTAATTCATCCCCCATAGTAATTCATCCCCCATATAGTAATTCATCCCCCATATAGTAATTCATCCCCCATAGTAATTCATCCCCCCTATAGTAATTCATCCCCCCATATAGTAATTCATCCCCCATATAGTAATTCATCCCCCATAGTAATTCATCCCCCATATACTGTAGTAATTCATCCCCCATAGTAATTCATCCCCCCATAGTAATTCATCCCCCATAGTAATTCATCCCCCATATAGTAATTCATCCCCCATATAGTAATTCATCCCCCATAGTAATTCATCCCCCATATAGTAATTCATCCCCCATAGTAATTCATCCCCCATATAGTAATTCATCCCCCATATAGTAATTCATCCCCCATAGTAATTCATCCCCCATAGTAATTCATCCCCCCTATAGTAATTCATCCCCCATAGTAATTCATCCCCCATAGTAATTTATCCCCCATAGTAATTCATCCCCCATATAGTAATTCATCCCCCATAGTAATTCATCCCCCCTATATAGTAATTCATCCCCCTATAGTAATTCATCCTCCATATAGTAATTCATCCCCCATAGTAATTCATCCCCCATAGTAATTCATCCCCCATATAGTAATTCATCCCCCCCATAGTAATTCATCCCCCATAGTAATTCATCCCCCATAGTAATTCATCCCCCATATAGTAATTCATCCCCCATAGTAATTCATCCCCCAATAGTAATTCATCCCCCATAGTAATTCATCCCCCCTATAGTAATTCATCCCCCCATATAGTAATTCATCCCCCATATAGTAATTCATCCCCCTATAGTAATTCATCCCCCCTATAGTAATTCATCCCCCCTATAGTAATTCATCCCCCCTATAGTAATTCATCCCCCATAGTAATTCATCCCCCATAGTAATTCATCCCCCCTATAGTAATTCATCCCCCATAGTAATTCATCCCCCCATAGTAATTCATCCCCCATATAGTAATTCATCCCCCATAGTAATTCATCCCCCCTATAGTATATCATCCCCCCTATAGTAATTAATTCCCCATATTGTGTCAATTCACTTACCTTTGCTCCGCGCGTTCTTCTCGCCGTGTTCCTGCGCCGTTCTGGTCTTCAGGGCGGACTGTGAGAGGAGAGGAGTTCGTCACGCTGCCCCGCCTACATCCTGGCTGCCCCGCCTACATCCTGACAGCTGCAGAGTCCTGACTTTTGGGGCGGCCGCCCGAGAGGAGGGAGGGGAGCGGGCGCCCGGCACACAGAAGAGCCGCATTTAAGTTTGTAAAGAGCCGCATGTGGCTTGCGAGCCGCGGCTTGCCGACCACTGGCCTAGGCTATAGGAGTGGGTACCTGTCAATTTCGGGTACCTGCTCCCCCCCGCCCCCCAAAGGTGCCAATCCTTAATGGGGAGCGGGGGACCAGTCTTTAAAGTGGAATTTCCCCTTTTGGCTGAAGCTCCGCTTTAAAGTGGTTCTAACAGCTGAAGGTTTGCATTGAATAAATATAGGTAAAAAAAAACCTTGCGTGTGCAGCTCCCGCTAATACTTACCTGAGCGCGATCCTGATCTAGCAATGTGCACCTGGGTCTCTGCCTCCTCATTGGCCAATGGCTCCCACTGCTGTCAATCACAGCCAGGGAGTGGGGGTCAGGGCCGAGCCTCGCTCTGTGTGTCTCATAGACACACAGAGCCAGGTCGGGAGGAATCACGAGTGTCCCCATAGCCAGCAGCATGCTGTGGGGACACTCAGCAAAGGGGAGGGTCTAGAGCATCGGCGGGGGACCCAAGAAGAAGATGATCGGGGCTGCTTTGTTAAAGAACATTGCCCAGAGCAGGTAAGTATACCATGTTTTTTTATAAAAAACAAACAAAAAAAAATCTGAACCTGTACAAGCACTTTAAGTGGGAACAGTTGGGAGGAAGTAAATATGTGAGTCAGCTGCATGTTTTTAGCACCCCCCAATTGCAAATGTAAATGAGGCCTAATACCACAATGACACTTTGCAAATTTTCATTGAATCATCAAAATTCTTTAGTTGTATTATATTCTAGATTTTGGAGAAGTAGTATTTGGGGACAGAAGGATTATTATGACTTCTTGTATTTGCAGGTTCCGAGTCAGTGCGTTGAAAGCACAGTATATAACACACCTCCGGTATACAGCCCTGGAAAGCAGGGTCTTAAATCAAAAACCACAGTTAGCAGCTCGCCCTGTGCTGACTTGAGTGGGAGCGGTATGGGGGGTGTGGAGGCTGCTGTCCCCAACAAGACTCGCCGCCCAAAGTCTGACAACAGCAGCCCGAACGGTAAGGATAGTATGCCTTTCGCTTCCAGAAATTATTTTAGGCCTGAAGATTAGTTAAAACCCCCATATATTATATTTTTGTGGAGGTGGGGTGGTTAAGTCCTTAAGTGTAACTCATTTTTTTACACTTTTTTTACCTAACTTTATTTTTATCATATAGGGGGGTCCAAAAGTCCATTAATTTGTTCTAATTCTGTAGTTGAGAGGATTCAGGCAGGGCTGATAATGCTTGAGATAACATTGCAGAGTGCAGAGGACAAGTACTGGATTTTCTGACAGATTCTACTTATTGAACAAATAGAAAAAAAAATACTTTTAGTGGTTTATTTAAAGCTGAACTCCAGGAATTCAGCTCCTTAGTAAAAAGTGAAGGCACACTATGAGTTAAGTCCAATGAGATGCATGACATCTCCTGGACAGTTTTATTGCATCTATTGCAACAGTAGTGTCGCTGTAGCTGCTATGCCTCCCCCTTTCCTCTGCCTGCCCAATCACAGAAGCCTTTGTATTATGTAAACCTATTCACAAAATACAAAGGCTTCTGTGAATTGGCAGGGGAGGTGTGGGCATATCTGCTCTATGTGCTTCTCTCCTCTCTCTCAGCCTAAGCGTCTCATGCCTGGTACACACTATACGTTTTTTTGATTCAACCCTGTGGGCTGAACGATAAAAACTGACAGATTGCTGTACTAACAGCTGTGCTATTGTGTTCTGACAGAGGGAACACCCCCCCCCCTTCCCCTCCAGGGCACACCAATCTTCACTTGCAGCCATTGGCTGTGAATGGCGATCGGATGCCGGAAGGCTGCTGGTTTTCCAGCATGCCTGTTTGACAGAAGCCTGACAGGCTACTGTACACACTGGCCTAATATCGCCCAGTGTCTGTTGAACCGGCTGATATCTAGACAGTGTTTATCAGCCAGTGTTCAGTGTAAGCTCCAGAAGAGCCAAAAATCTGTCAGATATAAATTATAGAGATAAATCCAGGAGGTGGCATGCACTTCATTGGACTTAACTCATAGCGTGCCTTCACTTTTTACAAAGGGGCTGAATTCCTGGAAGTCAGCTTTAGCAAACCAGAAGGAAACAAATACGTTTGTTGCTAGGGTTTCCATACACTTTAAATGACATTAGCCCCCTTAAAGCATACTCCCCTCCTGTGCTCCAGGATCCCAGAGGATGGGGATGCTATAGACTGAGGGTCCTGCACTGGGAAGGAATGATGCAAATTCATCGTACATTCATTCTGTGCAAATGGGGCAAAATCAAAAATTACTAGGCTATTTTCTCCCCAGGTCGGATGTTCTTCATTCATAGGAATAGCATGAATCAGGAAAATATGGAATTATGGCCACTAGGTGGAGTTAATTATTATAGTAAATAAATGCTTATTGTATGTAATGTGGTATTTTCCTTATTCATGATGGTCCTATGAATGAAGGATATCCAACCTGGAGAAAAAATAGCCGAGTAACATTTCATTTGCAGGCATTCACACAGAACAAATGTGACTTTTGGGTCTTTTTTTTCAAGCGGACTAACTATGTAACATGCAATTTTGCAGGATGAATCACTCTTTTTTTTTTTTGTAAATACACCCCTATGTCTTTCAAATGTTGCCAATTTCAATGAACAGATGATACTTTCAAAATTAGCTTATGTAGGTGACCCCATCTAGGATTTTAGGTACAAGAATCATGGGTCATTCTGGAGTTCATTCTGACTTACAACCTTGTTCAGGAAAAATGAAAACCCCCAAGCTGAAGTGTACTTTCTGCGATAAAGCTTTTGGGAAGAACTTTGACCTTCAGCAGCACATTCGGAGGTGAGCCTTTTTTATGGTTGTCATTATCTCGTCTCAGTATGAATGGGTCAGTGTTATTGGATGATGGATAAACCACACAGGTGATCATGGGCTTTGATGACCTATTGGGCTTATATGGCTGTATGGCAGTGATAGCAGTGATGTGACAGTGATAGCAGTGATACATCATAATGCATAGCTACCAATCACTGAGTGGGTTTACTATTGTAGTCAGCTAGATGAAAGCTAATTGTTTTCTATGGTTAATGCAGACCATTGCTCTGCTGTATAGAATCCTTGTCTACCATATGAAACGTTTAAAAGTGAAGGTATAACGAAGTACCTGTTGTCATTTGTAGCCCAAAACAATTAAAACAGTCCAACTTGAATGCCCCCCCCCAAACCTGTGTCAGTCGGATCAACTTGTGAATAGACGGATTCAAGACAGACAGGATCGCCTTGTCAAGCTCTAGTAAACTTTAAATGGTGGCCGTCTGCACGCAGACACCGACTCCTTGTTGCATAAATGTGAATGGAATTAGATGGCTTCAGCTCCTGTTCTCAAACTGTAGAACGCTCCTCAGATGCGTTTGGGGCAAAGCGTGTCTGAGGAGTTCTCTGCAGGTGGAGAATAGAAGCGGAATCCATCTTTTACTCATTTCATGCACATTTAGGCAAGAAGGAGTCAGTGTCTGTATGCAGATGGACACCAATTTGTTGGTCTACTTGCTTTCATTGTTATAAGCTGCAAGTTCCCCCTTTGTGTTCTTATCTGAAACTGGACTTCCTTTACTATAGTAATATGCCCAAGTACCCACCATCCTCAGGTTAATGCAATGACAGTGTCCTTGAACAACGGGCTATCTCTTGATATATTCACATCTTAGTTGTGCCCCAGAGTTGTGTAAATGTTTTCCAACAACCCTAATGTTTAGCTTTTGGCTAGACTGAGGGAGGCATAAAGCCCCTGATAGGTTTTTATTGTGCAACATTATAAGCAGTAGTGAGAGCGCCACCTCCATAGGTCATAGTATCCAATAGGGTTATTTATTAGATTTTCAGTAGAATAAAAAATCCAACACATTTCCGGGGAACACTTACCCTCAGGGCTTGGATCCTATACCATCTCAAATATGACTGGACTTGACTTGACTGGGTTCCAATAATAATTGTGATTTCTATATGAGAAGATCTTTACCAGAAGCAGCTTTTTGCAGCGTGCAGATTATTGTTATCCCATTGAGTGAAAACATATTTTAAGTAATATTAACACCAAGCTCTGATGTTGTCAAAGTGTTTGAACCACCAAAATGCGTTGGTTTTTTTATTCAATTAAAAATATAATACAATATCACCTTGGACTCTTCAGCCTATAGGTATAGTGCTCTCTCTACAGTTTATAGCAGTGGTCTCCAAACTGCGGCCCGTGGGCCAAATGTGGCCCTTTACTTGCCTGTATCTGGCCTTCATGGTACTATTCCTCCCTCTGATACAAACAAGGAGGCACCATATCTTCCAGTGGCACCAACTATGGGGCATTTTTCCTTCCACTGACACCAATGATGGGGTACAATTTCCTCCCACTGATATAAACAATTAGGTACTATACCTCCAACTAATACCAATGATGGAGCACTATTCCTCCCACTGACACCAGTGATGGGGCATTATTCCTCCCACTGATACCAATGATGGGGCACTATTCCTCCCACTGATACCAATGATGGGGCACTATTCCTCCCACTGACACCAATGATAGGGCACTATTCCTCCCACTGATACCAATGATGGGGCACTATTCCTCCCACTGATACCAATGATGGGGCACTGTTCCTCCCACTGATACCAATGATGGGGCATTATTCCTCCCACTGATACCAATGAGGGGGCACTATTCCTCCCACTGACACCAATGATAGGGCACTATTCCTCCTACTGATACCAATGATGGGGCACTATTCCTCCCACTGATACCAATGATGGGGCACTATTCCTCCCACTGTTACCAATGATGGGGCACTATTCCTCCCACTGTTACCAATGATGGGGCACTATTCCTCCCACTGATACCAATGATAGGGCATTATTCCTCCCACTGATACCAATGATGGGGCACTATTCCTCCCACTGATACCAATGATGGGGCATTATTCCTCCCCACAATGATGGGGCATACCAATGATGGGGCACTATTCCTCCCACTGATACCAATGATGGGGCACTATTCCTCCCACACTGGGGCACTATTCCTCCCACTCCTACCAATGATGGGGCACTATTCCTCCCACTGATACCTGGGATACCAATGATGGGGCACTATTCCTCCACTGATACCAATGACTGATACCAATGATGGGGCACTATTCCTCCCACTGATACCAATGATGGGGCACTATTCCTCCCACTGATACCAATGATGGGGGCACTATTCCTCCCACTGATACCAATGATGGGGCACTATTCCTCCCACTGATACCAATGATGGGGGGCAATGAGGGGGCACTATTCCTCCCACTATGATCCTATTCCTCCCACTGATACCAATGATGGGGGCACTATTCCCCCCACTGATACCAATGATGGGGCACTATTCCTCCCACTGATACCAATGATGGGGCACTATTCCTCCCACTGATACCAATGATGGGGCACTATTCCTCCCACTGATACCAATGATGGGGCATTATTCCTCCCACTGATACCAATGATAGGGCATTATTCCTCCCACTGATACCAATGATGGGGCACTATTCCTCCCACTGATACAATGATGGGGATATTCCTCCAACTGATACCAATGATGGGGCACTATTCCTCCCACTGATACCAATGATGGGGCACTATTCCTCCCACTGATACCAATGATGGGGCACTATTCCTCCCACTGATACCAATGATGGGGCACTGTTCCTCCCACTGATACCAATGATGGGGCACTATTCCTCCCACTGATACCAATGATGGGGCACTATTCCTCCCACTGATACCAATGATGGGGCACTATTCCTCCCACTGATACCAATGATGGGGCACTATTCCTCCACTGACACCAATGATGGGGCACTATTCCTCCCACTGATACCAATGATGGGGCACTATTCCTCCCCCACCAATGAGAGGGGTTCTATTCCTCCCCCACTAATACCAATGATGGGGCACTATTCCTCCCACTAATACCAATGATGGGGCACTATTCCTCCCACTGATACCAATGATGGGACACTATTCCTCCCACCAATGAGAGGGGCACTATTCCTCCCGCTAATACCAATGATGGGGCAATATTCCTCCCACTAATACCAATGATGGGGCAATATTCCTCCCACTGATACCAATGATGGGACACTATTCCTCCCACCAATGAGAGGGGCACTATTCCTCCCGCTAATACCAATGATGGGGCACTATTCCTCCCGCTAATACCAATGATGGGGCAATATTCCTCCCACTGATACCAATGATGGGGCACTATTCCTCCCACTAATACCAATGATGGGGCAATATTCCTCCCACTGATACCAATGAATGGACACTCTTCCTCCTTCCACTGACTATAAGCACTTTTTTTTTACTCCTATTGACGCTGGGACATTTTCTACTCCCACTGGGCACTCCAGCCTTCCTAAACTCTGAAGGACATTAAACTGGCCCTTTGATTAGAAAGTTTGGAGACCTCTGGTTTATATTGTTCGACTTTGCTCAAGAATTTCACCACCATCACCAACACCACCACCTCCTAGGGGGCTTTAATATATGTGAGCAACCTTAGCAAAGTGGGTCAGCTTGATCAAAGAGATGGCCTTTCACAACAATTCTGGATATTAACAATAAAGGTGGCTTCACGCTGCCCTGGTGCGGTCCGACTGCACTTTTCTATAGACTTCTATGAGGTCCCGTGGTTTTGGTGCAGTTTCAGAAACTGCAGCAAAGATGCAGCTTCAGGAGTATTGGTGTGCTTTCAGAAACCACACCAACACTACTGGACCTCATAGAAATCTACAAAACAACAAAGGAGAGGTCAAACCGACCTAGTGCATTACCATAACTCAATTGTATTAAACTTTTATAACAAGTGAATACTCACAAATGCATGTCACGTCCAAACATATCTATAAATACATATGAGACCTTCCCATATCCACCATAATCAGCAGATAGTACGGGAAGACCTAATAGCGTCCCAAAAATGCTAATGCATTTCGAGGGCCAAGCCCTTTTCCTCAGAGACCCTCGTTTTTTGGATGCTTTGAGGTCTTCCCTTACCTTCCACTGAATTTGGTGGATTTGGAGGTGGTCTCATCTGTATTTATAGATATACTTGGGCATGATATGCATTTGTGAGTATTCACTTGTTATACTCTTAATAAAATTGAGTTATGGTAATGCACTAGATCAATGCAACCTCTCCTTTGTTCTTTTGTAGTTTGCCCAAGGGTACCCACAGTCCTGAGAAGTCAGCAAGACGGGTATGTGATATACCAATAAGACTAGCCAAGAGGACAGTCCATTTTATCTCTAAGCACCACACCTGAGTGCAGGGGGTCAAGTATCTGATACCTCATAGAAGTCTATGGGAAAGCACAGCTAACCCACACAAAAAATGCGGATTAGCTGTGCTTTCGCAAAAGCACAGCGGGGAATTGTGAAGCTGCCCTAAGAGATCGAGCGCCTCTTATGGACATACATTGTGGTCTGTACCACTGTAGGTGAAAGCCTGGCCTTTCAAGGGTTAAAAGAGGCATCCATGGGGCAACATATTACCTCCCAAGCCCTTAGAGAGAAAAACGAGTGCGGGAGCATAGAGGGCTTTTCATGATTCCAGAAAAGTATTTATTACATAAATGCTATAACTTGTTATAGGTAACTCCTTACTCACATAAATACTTCTTTTCTTGAAGTCATACGGGAGAGAAGCCATTTCAGTGCATTGTATGTGGACGAGCGTTTGCACAGAAGTCCAACGTTAAGAAACACATGCAGACCCACAAAGTCTGGCCAAAAGTTCAAAGTACAACCGGCTCACAAGGATCCATGACATTGCAGGTGGTACCGCTCAACACCTCTCAGCCGGAGGAAGAGCCTGCCGAGAATGTAGGTAGGTATATCGCGCTTTATGGGACGCAGAACATTATATGGTGTTGTCTTTCTCACAGAGAAATTTGGTTGACATTATGTTTGTATTTAGCCATCTCCAACCAGGTCCCAACAGAAAATGCCTCATCGCAGGACTTGGACGCAGTCCAAAGCGGGTCATGTGATGGGGCAGACGCCAAGCAGGTGGTCATTATTGACAGCTCCTATCACTGCCAGTTCTGTCCCAGCAAGTTTACCAACTACTTCCAGCTCAAATCGCATATGACGCAACATAAACAGGAGCAGGTAGGTCACAAAAGCAGATCATCACTACCTCCGGAGTATACTTGAAGCATATCTAAAGCAGGGTGGATTTGATTTAAATCAAACTGATTTGAATCACGATTTAAATCACAATTTAAATCACTAGTCAGTAAGGCTTGATTTAAATCCTAGTTTTCTTCATAAAGACTAATTCTTGCTGGTATAACTTTAATATACAAGTAGATGAAGATTTTTAGAATAACAACTTTTCATATTAGTTTTTTTATCCCCAGTTTAATAGGTTAATCATTCATATTTGGACAACTTTTCTGTTGTACTTAGGAAGGAGAAAAATAATCATTACCTTATAATAACAATTTAAATAGATTTATTCAACTGAAACAATAACATTCCAGCAGATGTGATTTGCTTAAACATCCGTGTTTGTTAACTAATTTGGCTAAACAAAATATATATTTTAAGAAACTTAGACTGTCAGCCCCTTCCTCCTCACACTTAGTTTTACTTTCTTCTTGTGCAGATCTATTCCACTCCAAACAATCAGAAAAATATTGTTTCTATTCTATTCACTGAACTTCTTGAAACTTAGCACTGAAGGGGTTGATTCTGTATTCATAGGTTTGTAGAAGTTAGGATGAAGGTCTTTTTCTTAACTCTGTTCATGTTATAACATTTTTGCTGTGAAGAAGAGGCATGTGATCTCCGCTGAGTCAAATTCAGTTTTGAGAACTGCAAAAGTAAACCGAGCATCTGTGATAATATCTTGTAGGCAGAGAAACTACCCAATAATCTTACAAAAACCTCTGGAAGAGCATGACATTGTGAATGGATTCATGGAATTTATTTACCAAAAAAATTAAACATATACAGCCTTATTCTACATAATTAAAAAACTAATCTTTATTTCATGGTGGAATAACCTTTGGATGGTAATATATTTTCCTCAAAAAGCATTTTATTTAAAAAAATCCGATTTTAAATCCAAAAAATCAGATTTAAATAAAAAAAATCGATTTTTTTTTTAAATTTTTTAAAAAAAATCATTGATTTTTATCCACCCTGATCTAAAGCCATAACCCTTTTCTTTTTTTTTTCTTGACTGAGGAAGTCTCAGGTTTTTGTTTTGTGTCTTTGCTAAGGAGGTTTACCCTCTCTATTTGTTTTGGTGACCATTGTCAATGGGTCAAAAAGTGATGGCAAATCTAACATTTTAGGGTTGTCACTGGAACAGGAAAAGAGGTGAAAATTTTCAATGTGGACACCTGCCTAAGAACGTATCACACTACTGTGCCCGAGTGTGTTTGACCTCCAAAGTTCGTTTGAGTAGTGTGATTGCTTGGTACTGTGCTCAGTTACAGTTCAGCATACTATGCCCTGGCCCATTTGAAGTAGGTCGTCTGCGGATTGGTTCAGTTGTACTCTGCTTTGGTGCCCTTATGTTTCATCGTCAAACTGTACCTGAGCATGGAGCTCTTATGAAGGTTAATGAGCAAGAAAGCAGGGATCTCTGTGTTCTGACTGGTAGAGGTGATGATGCACAGGTTTGGTACATTGTGAATGTAGATCACCTCCCCAGATCAGTACTATGGTGACACTGTACTGCTCTGGTCACAGTATATATAAAAAAATAAATAAATAAAAAAAAGGTTCAAAAATACTATACAGTGCTCAGCATAAATGAGCACACCTCAGCAGATTTGTCAGAAAACCTTTACTTTCCTTTCAGAATCAATATTTTCTGTGGAACACTATACTACAAAATACTCCCACAAATGCGGGCCATTGATTGCAAACAAGATTTGTTAATTTGCACACACAAAGTGTTTTTCCTAACAAATTCATTCAAGACCATGTTGCAAAAATGAATACACCCCAATGAAAGTCTTAGAACTCATGTACACTGGACGTTTTGATAACGCTGATAACATTAGCTGTGTAAAGTCACGCTAAAAACGTTTTTCAGCTTTTTTTAGTGTTTTTGCATTGGCGCTTAGCTGTGTTTTTCCACGTTTAGCGCCATTTTCCCACGTTTTTCTGCGTTTATATTTATATTTTTTAACTTTTTTTTTACCAAATTTAATTTTTTTTGGTCAAAAATGTCCAAAAACGCTGATTTGTGGCGTTTTACTGCGTTTTTCAGCGTTAGAGCATTGTTACTGCTAAAAAACTGCTAAGAAACTCCTCTAGAAACCCACTAGTCCTGGGTTTTTTTTCCAGCCAAAAAACGTCCCTGCCAAAAAACGTTGATTACAGTCTATGTGTGCATGGACACATAGGATAACATGCTGGGGGGGTTTACTAGCTGTAGAAAAAAATATCAAAAGCCAAAAAAAGCAGCTGTAAAAACGTCAAGTGTGCATGAGGACTTAGGAGCAAAGCTAAATTTTAGACAACAAAATCCTAATGAACAAGAATTCAACTACAGGTGAGTCTAATTATTCATTGAACAGGTGTCCAGCAGACAGTTGATTATAAAAGGGCATTTCTTAACAAAGAAAACCCCTCCCATTTCATGCTGTCAGCAGTGGCACCACATGGAAGCGAAATGTCGCAAGGCCTGAGAAAGAAAATAATTTCTTTACACATTTCTTTACACAAGAAAGGTGAAGGCAACAAGAAGATCAGCAAAGCTTTACTTATCAGTCAGAATACTGTAGGAAAAGTGATAGAAATATTTAACAAATGTATAGGGGGGATTGTACCTCCTGCTCAAGTTCCTCTATTTTTAAGGAAACTTGAATGATTACCTTGGAGACGAGTTAAGGCTCTGAATTATATTTATTATTGCATATACTTATATGGGGAGTACAGTGTCCACCCTCACTGTATTCCACTTTCCATAGAGCTCTCTCCTTATATAGGCTTTCTTATCAAATAGAAACAGATCACATTGGAAGGACCAAAGCGAACACTACCCATAAAATGTTACACAAGCCTGCTGGCACAGTCACAATCTAGATATGTGTGTGTCATTTGCAGTAAACAACTTGAAGCATCTCTGATGAGACAAAATGGAGTATACATAGACATCTTATAATATTCTATATATGTGATTCGGTAAGGATCATAGTTATCCCTATAGACAAAGACGGAACGGAAACCATCTCACAGAGACGTCCAGGCCGTCCATGGAGGTTAACACCTCGACAGGAGCATCTTCTGATGAGAAGGGTTGAAGGAAATCGCTGTGTAAGTTCACTGCAGTTAGCTAAAGAAGTAGAAAGCCAGACTGGGGTGATTGGTTCCTGTGACACAATACGGGTGTACACTGCAGAGGAATGGAATGCTTGGGAAGGAAGCCTAGAATTTGCCAGGGCCCATGCTAAAAAGAAGACTACTGGAATTCTTTACTCTGGAGAGATGAGACCAAGATAAATGTTTTTGGAACTGGTGACTCCAAAACGTTTATGGTGTCACAAACGTGAGGAGAACACAGAAAAATGCATGTGCCTACAGTGAAACATGGTGCTGGCAGTGTCCTTCTGTGGGGCTGCATGAGTGCTGCTGGTGTTGGGGAGCTGCCTTTTTTTTTATTGATGGTATAACAAATTCACAGATGTACTGCTCTATAATGAAAGAGAAGATGCTACCATCACGCCAAGCCCTTGGTCCTCGTGCACTTTTCCAACATTATAATGATCCAAACACACATCTAAGGCTACTTTTGCATTTCTGAAGAAGAACTGGGTGAATGTGATTCAGTGGCCAAGTATGTCTCCTGATCTGATTCCAATAGAACACCTATGGGGAATTCTGAAGAGACAAGTTGAGCATCACTCTCCATCCAGCATCCAGGCTCTAAAAGAGGTCATTCTTGAAGAATGGAAACAGATCGATGTTGCAGTATGTCGCCAACTTGTTCATTCCATGCCTAGAAGACTTGGTGCTGTCCTTACAAATCATGGAGGTCATACAAAATACTAGAGGGAGTAGTTTTTGTTGTGGGGTGTATTCATTTTTGCATCAACTAATTTGAGTAAAACTGAAGATTTTGTAATCTAAGTTATATTATTAACTTTACTTTCATGTAATGAGCTAAACGAATGTTCTATAAAACTCAGCTTTGTCACAATTTTAGAAATTAGTTTTGTGTTCATTGAGATATTGATTAAAATCTTACTTTTCAAAAGGGGGTGTACTCATTTTATGCCGAGCACTGTATATAATTATATATAATTTTTTTTAACATACTGTCAACAGTACATTGAGTTTAAAAAACCTAAGAGTACCATTTATACTTAATTATATATAATTTTTTTTACTAGTCAGTGTCCCAGATCACCGCCATAGTAGTCACATAATGATACCGTACAGCTCTGGTGACAGTTTTTGTGAAAATATGACAAAAAATTACAATTTCAAAAAACTCACCATGCCTCTTACTAAAAACCTCAGACTGCATACTTTCCAAAAAAGGGTCATTTGGAGGGTATTTGTACTGTTCTGGCATTTTAGGGCCTCAAGAAATAATCAGTTTTCAAATATATATACCATAGTTTGTAGACTCTATAACTTTCATACAGACTAAATAATATAGACAGATTTGGGTTATTTTTACCAAAGAAAGGTTTGGCCTAAATTTATGAAGAAAGATTATTTATTTGCAAAATGTTATAACTGAAAATAAAAAAAAAAATAGGTTTGTTTAAAATGTTTAGTAATTTTTCATTTCTATAGCAAAAAAATAACCCAGTGGTGATTAAATACCACCAAAAGAAATCTTTATGTCTAACAAAAATGATAAAAATGTAATTGGGGTACTGCGCTACATTACTGAGAAAATTAAAGAAATTAAAGTGCAGCAGCCCTTATTTATTTTATTTATTTCAGGTACTTATATAGCGCCGTCAATTTACGCAGCGCTTTACACACATCAATATATATATATATATATATATATAGTACATTCACATCAGTCCCTGACCCTCAAGGGGTGTACAATCTAAGGTCCCTAAACTTACATTCATACATACACATACTAGGGACAATTTAGACAGGATCCAATGAACTTACCAGCATGTCTTTGGAGTGTCGGAGGAAACCGGAGTACCCGGAGGAACCCCACGCAGGCACAGGGAGAACATGCAAACTCCAGGCAGGTGGAGCCGTGGCTGGGATTCGAACCAACGACCCTAGTACTGCCAGGCGGAAGTGCTAACCATTTAGCTTAAAGCTGGAACTTGGCCTGGCCAAGAAGGGGGTGAAAGTATCTGGTACTGAAGTGGTTAAAGCTTAACTTTAGCCTTACATTCAGTCTTGCACAGTTCACAGGCTTCTGTCTTGTACCTGAAATTGCTTATTCTGATTTTACTGTATTCTGTGAGCTTTTCACAGTGTGCATTAAAAACTGCAGCAAGTCACACAGAGCCCTCTCATTTCCTGGCTGAAGGATGTTCAGCATCATTTAACTCTTTCCTCCCCAAGCTGACTGTCCCTGGCCTACCCTTTTCATTCATTGGATTTCGGTTCTTTCATTCATGAAGGCTTAACTCAGCACAGAGCACTGCAGTGGGAGAGCAGAAAACATCTATTTATGGGGGAAAAAACGTTATCTTAGGTCATTTCAAAGAAATGATCAATCATAAATCATAGTCTGTCATACAGGACTAAAGGATGAAAAGGCGTGAGATTGGTCTTTACAGCATCTGACGCATTTCTCCAGGTATACAAGTGTGTGGTGAAAGGCTGCACTCACACCTGCCAGAAGCTGGAACAGTTCTTGGAACACATCAAAACCCACCAGGAAGAGATGACCTACCGATGTCACATCTGCAACAAGGACTTTTCTTCCCTCTACGAGATGGGGGTCCACCAGTATTCTCATAGCTTGCTCCCCCTGATTGCCCCCAAGAAGGAGATGGCTGTATACAAGTAAAGTATCCCAATAGATGTACAATGCTACCTTTGCTGTGTTTAAAGGGAACATACTATATATATATAGCGTATTCTCAGCATGTAAGCATTTTAAGTTAAATTTCCAGGTTTACTATTACTTTAAATAGTTTTTGGTCCAAGGTGGCCCAAACAAATCATTTCCATTCCAGAACAGGTTTGCCATAGTGGGCTATAGTAGCATTAGCTACATTTAGTAAACAGCACGGGGCACTGTGTTCTAGCAGCAGTATGAGGCACCTCCTGTTTGCTGCCAGGTATAGATCAAGTCAGCTTAGCACATCACCACCATTTAGGTATTCATATCAGTGAATACAAGGCTTCCTCTGATTGGCTGAGGTTCAGATTGTGAGGTCATCTGCCTTCTTCTCCACCTTGGCCAATCAGAGGAAGCCTTGTATTTATTGATAGGTGCTTAGACCTACTCTATCTATACCTGGGAACAAAAAATTTAGTGCCTTTTACTGCTGCCGGAACACAGTGCCGCATACTGAATGTAGCTAATGCTACCATAATCTATTACAGAACGTACAGCGGCCATGTCATTCAAACATGGAAATAATTATTTTGGGCCAGCTTGGCCCAAACTATTTCAAGTGATAGTAAACCTAGAATTCTACTTTATGTCATTATTCTAACATTGAATGAAATGCTTTTTATGCTATGGCTTCCACCTTTCCTGTGCTCGCACTTTCATGGTTTCAAGTGATATTAAAGGCATTTTTTTTAAAATAACAAATATGTCATACTTACCTGCTCTGTGCAGTGGTTTTGCACAGAGCAGCCCCGATCCTCCTCTTCTCGGGTCCCCTGCCAGTGCTCCTGGCCCTCCCTCCTGTAAGCTGCTTGCTATGGGGCACCTGAGCAGGCTTGCTCCCAAGCTGTGTGTCCATTCACACTTGGAGCGTGGCTCAGCCATACTCCTGCTCTCTCCTCATTGGCTCACTGGCTGTGATTGACAGTAGCAGAAGCCAATGGCTCCAGCTGCTGTCTCAGTCAATGAGGAGGAAGAGACCTAGGAGAGCTGCTGCTCTCGTGCACATCACTGGATCGAGATGGGGCTCAGGTAAGTATTGGAGGGAGGGTTACTGCACACGGAAGGTTTTTGACCTTCAGGCATAGAATACCATAGAAAAAACTTTGAGCTTTTACAACCACTTTAACTATTACCCTTTATGCAAATGCTCAATCTAGTCTCTATTACAGGGAGTGTAATTAGCTTCCCTGCTTAAAGAGACCCTGTCACCAACTTGAAAACCTGCAGGTAAACGCACAGAAAAATCAAGTAATTTAAATGTGTACTTGCAGGATTTTTCCTTTCAGTAAATGATTTATTGACTTGCAATGTGCCTTTGAATGTGCAAAAAGTTTGAATATTCCAGCAAAAGTCAATTCCTTTGCAGATATCCCTTTCTCCTTGCATGTCATAGCCCTCTCCTCCTCTGTGCGTGTCTAATTATAGTCTGTGCTGGCCAAGCTCCTCTGTCCTTTTCATTTCCTTACATAAACTTTTATGTAGACACTGCTGGAGGAGCAAAGGGGAATACTAGTGTGCTGGGGCTGCTAACATCAAATCTAAGATGTCAACACCTTGCAGCAGTTTCAGGGCTTTTGTATTGCTTTACATAGGAGGATTTACAGGTAAATGACATACATGAAATGCACATATAATCTTATGCACTAAGATACAATTGGGTGTCCTACACGCAAAGGAGGATGAGCTCTTTAGTCTGCTACTTCTCCCCCACTCTCCATTCACAGGCTGAGGGAAGAACGGTGACCAGACTGGAATTCTTACTGCTTGTAAGGAAAAGTGAGGTCACCAACCTGACTCTGCTGTCAGGGCTGTGTAAATGTCAGGACTGGATAGACAGATTTGCATATCTGTAGACCAAAAGCAATTACATTTGTTGTTTTGTGTTTTTATAGATATTTTTCATAGATTTTTTTTTGTGACAAATCCAATATTAAGATGTGGAAAACACTTGTGAAATATGTTGTTTCAGCTTTAGTTATAAAGTGGTAATTGCCTCCTTATTTTTGAAGGTGTTTGAAGTGTATGAATAAATATTCCACACAAGAGGCACTGGAGCAACACTTACAGTCAGCCACGCACAGCTACCCCTGTCCACACTGCCAGAAGGTGAGGATAGCTTGTTTTCTGTCTATCATCTTCATCCTCTCAAAGGACCAAAAAATACATAAATACAACTGGGGGAGCAGAGAAAGAGAGGAACTATCTGATAGCAACTACTAAGACTCTGCTTTCCATTTTGTAAGAAAACAAGTGGAATCCGGATACCTCAGGGGAGGGGCTTAAAGACAAGAGGGGGTGGGCTTAATCTAGCTAGGCAGAAGTTCTCTAAAGGCACCTTGAACAGCCTGGGCCTAGGATCCAAAGGGCTTCATAGGGAAACACAAGGTGCCTTCATGGCACTTAAAGGATAAGTTCACCTTTTGTCACGTACCTGATGGGAGACTGAAATGACGAGGTTGGCCTCACTTGTGTCACTAGCCCTGACCCCACTGGAGTTGGAACAGAGGGAGTCTAGGACCCAGGGGAACAAGAGCGCCAGTAGTTGTTGTTTGCAGCTCTTGCAGATGATGACTTTGGAAGGCTGATGATCTTCTGATTCAGGCACAGTAATAACAGGCAGAGCAGGTCTTGCAGATTGCCAGGCGTGCACCAGAGCAAGGCAGGTAGTGAGGGTAAGAGACAAGAGCAGTGTCATGGGAATAGCCAGGGTCATCAACAGTCAGGTAGCACGGTACAGAATCAGGATGAAAGCCAAGGTCAGGAGCAGAGCCGAAGTCAGGAACTAGTATCAATCAGGAGAACAATCAGAGTCAGGAACAAGCCAGGTCAGCAACAAAGGAATCACACAGGAACAAGCAGGACACAGGGGAGCTGAAGACCAGTCATCACTCAACAAAGGCAGAGACACTCTTTAAATAGGCCGTCTGGCGCCAATCTTCGCCGTGCGTGTGCGCGATCGTGCATTTTTGCACGCATGCGCACAAATGGTAATTCTCCGGGAATTCCTATGCGCATTTCCGATCGTGATTCGTCTTCCCTTACACCTTTGGGAATATGTTACATGTTCCACTTGTTTTTAGGATGGAACATGTAACATGTTCCCAATGCTGCAGCCGCCACACGCTGCCCCCCTCCCGTGACAGAAGTACGGGGAGAAGTTCCCTGTACTAGCTGTCAGTATTTAAAAACAATGGGGCCGTGTTCTGTGAATGAATGAACTACAAGTCCCGACAGCCTTAGCAGCTGTCAGCTTGTAGTTCTCAATGAACTACCACGGCGCTGTGGAGTGCCATGGTAGCTCATTGAATCTTCCTGTCAGTATATCTGCTTGCCCGTACATCATTCATAGGCAAGAAGATATACTGACAGGTTCTGTAGGAGACCCGCATGGCACCAGTGATCTGCTGAAGATTGTATATTGTATGGCCAGCCTTTGACAATAAAACCTGGAAGTTACAAGTTAACCCCTTTATACCCCAGTAACACATGTGCAGTGGCAAAAAGGTGGGCTTTAACGCCCACATGCCGCACATATGCGTCACTGGGCGGGTAATGCTTATGTGCTGGGGAGTGTGCTCACTGCTTACTCCCAGCAGAAAGACCGAGCTGCCAAAAACAGCTCCGAGTCTCAAGTAAACATTGGTAGCCAGCAGGACCGCCTTCCGATCATGTGACCAGTGTGACAGCCAATCGCAGGGATCACATGATCGCTGATCCTTCCCGCCCCTCTGAGTATTCAGAACCTTTAGGCTAGGTTCACATATGCTCAGGTGGTGCTGTTGCGGATCTGCACAAAAATCCGTTCAGCTGCACCACCCACACAGAAGAATGTGGACCCACGGGCGGGTGCCATTAATTGTAATGACACGCCGCCCGCACTGCAAATCGCAACCGCACCGGGAACCGAGGTTCAAGTGCGGGCTGCGGTTTCCAAAGAAGTGCAGGGACTTCTTCCCTGTGTGTCCCGGGGCACAGGAGTCCATTCAAATGAATGGGCTCTGTTGCCCACGCAAAACGCGGCCCGCACGGCCGCATATATGTGAACCAGGGCTTAAAGGGGATGCCAGGGTGGGCGGGAGATGGTGAAAGGGTGTGGAAACCATAAAACTGAAATGTTTGCTAAACATACCATTGAAAGCATTTTGTTATATAATTGCTTTTATATATGCAAAAAAATACCCACTGATTTTACCAAAAACTTGCTAGTTGATAACTTCCTGTGCTATCTATCTGCCTGCGCAGAAGGAGGGGTCATGCAGAGGAGAAGGACAGGAGAGCGGTCTGTGTCCCTTGTCATTTTTGGTATATTTTTGTGTACCTTCAGCATGTTTAAATGGATAAAACATAAGGGGAATATGCATATGTTAAGCACTGGATGTCACATTTCATTTGTTGATCACATGTTTTTTTTCAATTGATTTAATTCAATTTATGTCATAGTTTTTTTGGAAATCTGAATTAACATTTGTTAATCTAATGAAAAAGTTTTATAGATTTTTTACTAAGAGGAGGAGCGTGGCATAATTTTTATATTGGAATATGCACATATTGCAGAGGTGTACGAAGTATGTGCAGGGGCGGACTGACCATTTGGAAACTCGGGCACTGCCCAAAGGCCCGGGGTCAGTAGGGGGCCCCATGAGATGCCCCTGGTACCTTTTTCATAGGCGTTTTTGAGTTTGGGCAAGGACACAGGGGCCCCATGATCCCCTATTGCCCGGGGGCCCCATGAGTTGTCAGTCTGCCCCTGAGTATCTGTTTTTTTTTTTTTTTTTAAATTGTGCCTTGATATACACTTTCAATTATCCAAATCTATGGGCTGTCTATAATACAGCTCATAAAAAAACACCTTTCATTTTTATTGGCTACAATTAGTGCTTTAGATAATATTTTATTTTTTTGGTGTCCATTTTTTGTAGGTGTTTCCTTGTGAGAGATATTTAAGGCGCCACCTACCCACTCATGGCGGAGGAGGACGGTACAAGTGTCCAGTCTGTAAGAAGTTGTTCAGGAGGGAACACTATCTGAAACTTCACAGCCACATCCACTCAGGTACTGTTTATGTCTTTAACCACTTCAGCTATGGAAGATTTTGCCCCTCCATGACCAGGCCATTTTTGCGTTAATTTAAGTGGTAATTTCGTGGTCATGCAACACTACTCCCAAATTAATTGTTTTTTGCATATTTGTTCACACAAATAGAGCTTTCTTTTGGTGATATTTGATTGCCACTGTGTTTTTATTTTTTTTATTTTTTATTATATAAATGAGCAAAGACCAAAAATTAAAAAAAAAACGATCTTTTTTACTTTCTGCTATAAAAACATATTCAATAAATTAAAAAATCTAATTTCTTCATAAATTTAGGCCAAAATGTATTATGTTACATGCCTTTTTTTTCTGAAAAAAAAAAAAATAGCAATAAGTGTATATTGATTGATATGTGTGAAAGGCATAGTGTCTACAAACGATGGTGTATATATACTGGAATTTTTCATTTATTTATTTTTTATACTAATGATGGTAGTGATCAACGACTGGGACTGTGATAGTGCGGCAGGTAATGTTACACTAACTGACACTTTGCAGTAACTGACTAACTGCCACTGACATTTCCAGTGATCAGTGCTAATAATATACACTGTCACTGTACTAATGGCACTGGCTGGGAAGGGGTTAACATCTAGGAGCAATCAAGGGGTTAATTGTGCCTAACAATGTGTAATATGTGTAACGTGTGCTGCTTTTTACTACAGACCAACACAAGGCTCGAGGCTATGATTCCACACAGCGGATCAACAGGTCCCAGCCATGAATCATTGGCTGGGATCAGCTAACAAACTCTTGCTGTGTCAAATCACAGAAGGGTAGACAGGTGGGGCACGTGTGCGTGTCCAAAACCCAGAAACAGGCATTGCTGTGCCTGTAGGAGCCGCCCGCTGCAGTATATGTACTGCAACAGGTCGGCAAGCAGTTAAGTTAGCTCAACAAAAAAACTGAACCTGTACTCCCATTCACACATTTGAGGTAGATGGGGAATCCTCCCTGCTGTGCTTTTGTATTCTGACAGCAGGGAGACTCCCCCCACTGTCAGAGTACAGAGATCAGCCCTGCAGATATTGGCTGCAGCAGCTGATCAAATGTCTTTTATCTGACAGGGTGGTTAAACAGAAGTTGATCGGTGGATCGACTTCTGTTCAAATGCAGTGGCCATGCATGGATTGTAATTCAGTTGGTCCATGCTCAATTGGACAAAATTTGATCCATCTTTAGGCCTTGTTCATACCATACGTGCAGAAAAACTGATGGAAACTGATGTGCAGATTTCACTTGCAGAGACATTAGTTTACTTTTGGCTCAGTTTACTTAGGGCTTAGGGCAAAGACATTCATTTTTCTGCATGGGCACAACAAAATCATTTGTTCTCTATGTGTCCTGTTCACACCACAACACTAGTATCATGTGCAGATTTTTTCTGCACAGGAATCTGCAACGTGTACAAAACTCATTGAAGCGTGCATGAAAACTGACGTCTATGCAAGTGAAATCTGCACATCAGTTTTCATCAGTTTTTTTGCACAAATGGTGTGAACGAGGCCTTACTCTAATGCTGAAGTTAAAAGCTGATTGGCTACCATGCACAGCTGCACCGGATTCTGCATGCTCCAGTTTTAGTAAATTTAGTATGTCTCTTCTGCAATAACAAAATCCTTCCTGCTCACAAGTTTATTTGCAGGTTAGGTTCTGCTTTAAGAAAAAATGAGAACAGATTATCCTATACATGTTTATATTTGTCTCATCCAGATATATACTGATGTTCTGTTCCAGCAGTTCCTTCAGGAAGACATTGACTCTTCTGTGTCATTGCAGGTGAAAAGCCATTTAGATGCAGTCTCTGTGAGTCTGCGTTTAATCGCAAGGACAAGTTAAAACGACACATGTTGATCCACGAACCCTACAAGCAGTACAAGTGCCCTTTCGCGTATGTATCTTGTGAATGTGATCTTTTCAAACCGCAGGTGTATAAAAAAAAAAAAAATGACGGTTTGACCATTGATGTGACGCAAACATGCATCAGCTGATTCAAGGGGAAGCTTGCAGCCTGCGACTAGCTTGAGAATGAGCAGATGTCTCGTATCCTGTCATTATCAGTCAAACATCTGCCACATACCGTATTTTTGGCTCCATAAGACGCACTTTTTTCCCCCCAAAAAAGGGGGGAAATGTCAGTGCGTCTTATGGAGCGAATGTAAAGCGGCCGGTCCGGTATTTCTGCCGCCACCATGTCAGAATATCGGGCCGGCCGCTCAGTTCTTCTCTCCTGCAGGACCTTACCTGTTCCTCGCTCCAGCGCTGCAGTCTTCCCGGCGGGCTTCTGTGACAGCCGGGAGCCCACTGCGCATGCACTGCGCTTTGTGAATGGTCTGGTGTCTTTTGGGACACATGACAGGTCCCAGAGGCTCCGGGCCATTCACAAAGCGCAGCGCTTCTCCCGCGCATGCGCAGTGGGCACCCGGCTGTCACAGAAGCCACCGCGGGAAGAAGAGGGAAGGACAACTCCTGTCAAATTCAGGTACCCGTTCCCCCTCCCTCCCCAAAGGTCCACAGTCTCTGGTAATTCCCTGTACTGTCTGCAGTCTCTGGTAATTCCCTTTACTGTCCGCAATCTCTGGTCATCCCCTGCACTGTCTGCAATCTCTGGTCATCTGTACTATGTTCACAGTCTCTGGTCATTCCCTGTACTATGTCCGCAGTCTCTGGTCATTCCCTGTACTATGTCCTCAGTCTCTGGTCATCTCCTGTACTGTGTCCGCAGTCTCTGGTCATCTCCTTGTACTATGTCCGCAGTCTCTGGTCTCTTGTCATCCAGTCCTGTCATCTCTGTACTATGTCCGCAGTCTCTGGTCATCTCCTGTACTGTGTCCGCAGTCTCTGGTCATCTCTTGTACTATGTCCGCAGTCTCTGGTCATCTCCTGTACTGTGTCCGCAGTCTCTGGTCATCTCCTGTACTGTGTCCGCAGTCTCTGGTCATCTCCTGTACTGTGTCCGTCTCTGGTCATCTCTTGTACTGTGTCCGCAGTCTCTGGTCATCTCCTGTACTGTGTCCGCAGTCTCTGGTCATCTCCTGTACTGTGTCCGCAGTCTCTGGTCATCTCCTGTACTGTGTCCGCAGTCTCTGGTCATCTCCTGTACTGTATCCGCAGTCTCTGGTCATCTCCTGTACTGTGTCCGCAGTCTCTGGTCATCCCCTGTACTGTGTCCGCAGTCTCTGGTCATCTCCTGTACTATGTCCGCAGTCTCTAGTCATCTCCTGTACTGTGTCCGCAGTCTCTGGTCATCTCCTGTACTGTGTCTGCAGTCTCTGGTCATCTCCTGTACTATGTCCGCAGTCTCTGGTCATCTCCTGTACTGTGTCCGCAGTCTCTGGTCATCTCCTGTACTGTGTCCGCAGTCTCTGGCCATCTTCTGTACTGTGTCCGCAGCCTCTGGTCATCCCCTGTACTATGTCCGCAGTCTCTAGTCATCTCCTGTCCTATGTCCGCAGTCTCTGGTCATCTCCTGTCCTATGTCCGCAGTCTCTGGTCATCCCCTGTACTGTGTCCGCAGTCTCTGGTCATCCCCTGTACTGTGTCCGCAGTCTCTGGTCATCCCCTGTACTGTGTCCGCAGTCTCTGGTCATCTCCTGTACTGTGTCTGCAGTCTCTGGTCATCTCCTGTACTGTGTCTGCAGTCCATTGGTTCCGAATATTTTTTTTCTTGTTTTTCTCCTCTAAAACCTAGGCGCGTCTTATGGTCAGGTGCGTCTTATGGAGCAAAAAATACGTATGTCACATGTTAAAGAAGGAGAATCACAAGAATTTTCAAGAACTTTGTTGGATCCGCTAGGGCAAACAATTCATGTAGCATTGGTCCCGTTCAGATCTGTGCTGTGATTGGGGAACTAAAAGCACTTTTTTCTTTGTGATTATTGTAGCTCCACCCTAGGCTGAAGCCCAATTTATGGGGCGTTCCTATGGGGGAGCTTCAGCACAGCACTGAGCCTTGTTCTCCCACCTCTGAGTACAATATGTTTGAGAAAAGTGGAATGGAAGAGAAACTACATTTCACACCAGATCATCCCTGCAGTCATGCTGTGGAAGATCATCTCTATTTATCTGAGACTGTCTAGGTTAGTGGGGTTAATTCAAAGTTTATGGTGAGGTTACATGTAAAGGTTGTGATTGGGGGGAGGGTGTCAGAATATGGGGCCCCGTGTGTAGATGTGTGTAAAACAAATCGAACTTTATGTGTAAAAAAAAAAAAAAAAATATTTTTTGTTCCCTAAGGTCTCACACGGGCTGCAACAAAGAATTTAATCGTCCGGACAAGCTGAAAGCTCATGTTTTGTCACATTCAGGTAAGTGGGTAAAGTCTCTAGTACTATGCTTGTTGCTGTGGCTGTTCTAGGTCCTAGTTTTAATAGCAGTTCTCCCATCATCTGAATCAGGGATGAAAACACACAAATGTCAGTACTGCTCTAAGTCATTCAGCCGGCGAGCACATATGATAGAACATCAAAGGAGCCATACAGGGAATTATCGCTTCTGCTGCCCCAGCTGTGGTAAAGGATTTACTCGACAGAAATATCTGAAAGAGCATAAGTGCCGACTGCTGGCGGAAAATGAAAAGGACCAGGTAAGGAGGTAGAGGGATCAGCTTTTCTAAATTAAATCAATTAGTGAGCTGCCAGTGCTATCCAAGGAGTTATGCAGCAATGCTAAAGTCAGAAACTCCACTCAGATTATCCTCATCTCACTTTTATTTAATCGCAAGGTGACATATTACAGGAAGCCCCAGGAAACTTTGCAAAGCATTATATTCTGCATAGGCTGGCAGGGAGGGGGGCACATTGCGTTTTGGAGAAATGTCCCAGAATTCCATTTTAAACTTTGGAAGCTGTGGCCAAAAAAACAGAGGGCAAAAGGCCAGTTCCCAGTACTGTCTGTGGTCTCCCTGCAACTGATATCCCCCCATGATACTGATTTACAATGCCTTGCCCTGCACCTGTCTCTATGTAGGTGGACATCTTGGTAGAGGCAGGGCTTTACTTCCTCATGTCAGAGCAACCAGCAAGGAGAACTGTGAGCAGCGCAGTAATGACATCATCAAATCTCCTGAGACTAGCATTCAGAGGCAGCAATGCCTTAGATCTTACTGTAGATATAGAGCTATGAGGCTGTAGATATGGGAATGCCTAGGCACACTCACATACCTGAAAGTGCACCACCAGACAAAAGGTACATTTTTCAGGGTACTGCTTAGACATAATTAACTCTGTCACTGCCAGGTCCGTACCTTGTAAAAAAAATTAAAAAAATGTCCTCTGTCACGCCGTCTGCCCCCAAGCCCTCCCCCCCCCGCAACTTTGACCCCCCCACTCACCGGTCCCCCTGCTGCTGGCAGGCGTCAGGATGGAGGTTAGTGGGGGTTAGTAAACATGTCTTTACAAGCTTCCTCCCTCTTTCCTTTAGTGGAAACAGTTAGCGATCACTACTGATCTATGAATGAATGCGGAGACTCTGTAGAGACTCCACGTTCATTCATGTAATGTGCAGCTTAGGCTGCAGAGAAAGGGACTGTCTTCAGTTCCTTTCTCTGTCTCAAAAAAGAGATATCAGGGGTCTGTTTTGTCCCTGATATTGTTGAAAATACTTAAAAATAAAATTGTAAAAATAAATGTAAAAAGTAATTTTAAAAAACATAGTAAGTAGGGATGCAGCAATACCCTTTTTTTTTTTTTTTTTTTAATTGGTGAGTACGAGCTCCGATACGTTTGGTCAAGTACTCGCCGATACCAAGTACCTATATTGCATCCCAATTGACATGAATGGGACTGCCTGCATGGGGATGCATGGAACACCTGGGCATCCCCATACAGGTAAATAAGGCCCTCCACGACCATACATTTTAGTATGTTCCATGTGCCCATGTGAACAAGGCCTTAGAAGAAATATAGCGGGAATTTAAAAAAAAAAATCTTGTGTTGTGTTTGTGTGCACTAATAATGATTATAGTGTATTTTTAGTAAAAAAAGGGATTTTATTTTTTTTATTTATTTCAGGTACTTATATAGCACCGTCAATTTACGCAGCGCTTTACATATATATTGTACATTCACATCAGTCGCTAACCCTCAAGGGGAGTACAATCTAAGGTCCCTAACTCACATTCATACATACACATACTAGGGCCAGTTTAGACAGGATCCAATTAACCTACCAGCATGTATTTGGAGTGTGGGAGGAAACCAGAGTACCCAGAGGAAACCCACGCAGGCACAGGGAGAACATGCAAACTCCAGCCAGGTGGTGTCGTGGTTGGGATTCGAACCGACGACCCTAGTACTGCCAGGCGGAAGTGCTAACCATTTAGCCACTGTGCTGCCTGGTGAACATTTGCATAAATACTGCAGGGCCTAAAAAATCAATAGCACTTTTTTATTCTACAGGTCATGTGCTTTCAGAAAATGTATGGTTTGGAAAATATTTTCAAATTCTGAAAGCTGTAAGTGAAAAATGGTAAACCTCCAGATTTTGAGACTAAATTGTTTTTATTTACAGTTTTGCTCACATTCTGTTTTCATCATTTCCCAAAAAGGCGCAATGTAAAATTTACAAATATTTGTCTTTTATTAACTCAATACAGCTTTAGATTTTATATTTAGTAGGAATTTAGCATGAATTTTGTAAAATTTTGCCATGTATATATCTATTAGTAATGATTTTAGTGTATTTTGAGTGAAAAAATAACAATTTGATGAACATTTGTGCAACTACTTGTGGGGCCTAAAAAATCAGTAGTACATTTTTTTTATTCTACAGGTCATTTGCTTTCAGAAAAATATATGGTGTGGGGGGTCTTTTACAAACTCTGAAAGTTGTAAGTGAAAATGATAACCTCAGATTTTTAGAGTAAATTGTTTTATTTTACAGTTTTGCGTATCTTCCGTTTTCCCCATTTCACAAAAAGGCACAATCTAAAATTTGCAAATATTTGTTATTAACTCAATATAGTTTTAACTTTTATATTTACCTGGAATTTTGTAAATTTTGCCATGTGTGTATCCAATAATAATGATTTTAGTGTATTTTTAGCAAAAATATTGTTTTGAGAAACATTTGAGCAAATATCACAGGGCCTAAAGAATCAGTATTGTCTCCCTTTTATTCTAATGGTCATGTGCTTTCAGTAAATATATGGTTTTGGGGGGGGGGGTGGCCTGGCCATCTGAGTTTAAAAGTGGAGCGCAGGGCCTGGCAGCTAAAGGGTTAAAGTGGTTCTAAGGGCAGGGTTTTTTTTTTACCCTAATGCATTCTATGCATTAAGGTAAAAAAAAACCTTCTGGGTGCAGCTTCCCCCTCAGCCCCCCTTATACTTACCCGAGCCTCATCTTGACCCGTGAATGGACAATGTCCATTCACCGCAGCATGGCTTGGGAGCGAGCCTGCGAGCTGGGGACACTCTGCAGGCGGGAGGAGCCAGGACCACTAGCAGGGACCCAAAACCAAGAGGATCGAGGCTGCTCTGTGCAAAACCATTGCACAGAGCAGGTAAGAATAATCTGTTTTTTTTGTTTTGTTTTTTATCCTGTCCTATACACCCCGGTTACATCAAACCCTACTTTGAAATTGTGCGACTTACAGTGAAGTCGCACGATTTCAAAGTCCGATGACATGCCAATTTCAGATGCGATTTGCAAGACATCTGATACAGATGTCTATGCAAATCTCACCAAAAGTAGTGCATGTACTACTTTTGAAATTGGTGTGGCTTTGACCAAGTGGGAACCGCACCGATAAGACCGCTGTCATTGCAGACAATAGTCTGCGATTTGCAAGTCGCATGGCATGCAAATCGCATGGCAATTCGTATCCAGTGTGCCCGGGGTCCTAATATCTCTAAATGTTCTCTATAACATAACATGAGCAAATCTTCCCTCTTTTGCGCTCAGTTCCACTATATTTGCATTCTAAAGTGGCGTATTGGTTTGTACTGTGATAACAACTTTGTATTCTAACACACTGTGATTAGGTGAGAAAGGCTCAGAGGAAAAGGGGACGAGGGAAAGCAGACGATGAGGCTGCTGAGGAGGAAGAGACAACACTGACAGAACTGAAGACAAGAGATCAGCGCCTTGATGACTCTGGTCCAGGAGAAGAAGCTTTCAGCAATCTGATGCTGTACTTTCCATTGTGGTTGAAGGTGCAGGAGCTGCCAATGACAGCTTAGACGTGTCCTCCGGTCCTGACAACGCGGCCACCACCACCGTGACATTGGCAGAGCTGCAGAATGCCACAGACCCTTCATGTTCTATGCTGGCAGTACCTATATATATACAGAGCCCAGAATGACTAGACTAGGAGAACAGAAACATCGGACCTCTTGTGGTAGTATACCAATCACAAACCTTGCTTTTGTTATGGATTCCCATAAACCCCATTATAGATCAAATTTGAATACATAGAAGAAATTACATGAAAAACAGTGAGGTTTATCAAGTAATTTTACATCACATGGGGGGGGATTTACTAAAGCTGAAACACTCAGAATTTGGTGCAGCTCTGCATGGTAGCCAATCGGCTTTTAAATTCACTTAAGCTTTGACAATAAAACCTGGAAGCTGATTGGTTTCTCTGCAGAGCTGCACCAGATTTTACATGTTCCGGTTTCATTAAATCTGCCCCAATATGTTGTTTAGGGCACATGACTAAATACTAGGATTGCACCGATACCAACCCCACTATTGGTGCTGATACTAAGCATTTGCACGAGTATTCATATTATTATTCTGTGCGATTTGTAGCGCGATTTGAGCCTTTCATTTTGTATGGCGCAAATCGTATCGCAGCCATGAGGAAACCGCATGTGATTCAGACAAGAATCACACTGCATCCCTGTTCAAAGCACATACAATTCTTTGCGATTGGAGCTCATTCATTTTGTATGGGTTCAAATTGCACAGCAGAGGTATTGGTATGGGTGGTACTTGGGCAAACCGATAAAAAAAAAAACTATCCGTGCAACCCTGCTAAATACACAAATGAAATGTGAACTGTCAAAGAATTGCATGTACTTTTAACTTGAATGCGGTGCGATTCCTGTCCGAATTCCTGTGTGTGCGGTGCGATTCCTGTCCGAATTCCTGCGTGTGCGGTGCGATTCCTGTCCGAATTCCTGTGTGTGCGGTGCGATTCCTGTCCGAATTCCTGCGTGTGCGGTGCGATTCCTGTCCGAATTCCTGTGTGTGCGGTGCGATTCCTGTCCGAATTCCTGCGTGTGCGGTGCGATTCCTGTCCGAATTCCTGCGTGTGCGGTGCGATTCCTGTCCGAATTCCTGCATGTGCGGTGCGATTCCTGACCAAATTCCTGCGTGTGCGGTGCTACATGAACTGTGAATTAAGCCTTTCATTTTGTATGGCGCAAATCACACCACACCCACGAGGAAACCGCACGGGATTCAGAGAAGAATCACACTGCATCCCTGTTCAAATCTCATGGAATTCTTTGCAGTGTGATTGGAGCTCATTCATTTTGTATGGCACAAGTCGCACCACACCCAGGAGGAAGCCGCATGTGATTCAGACAAGAATCACACTGCATCCCTGTTCAAATCACATACAATTCTTTGCAGTGCGATTGGAGCTCAT